GTGCTTTCCTGCTCCTCTGATGCTGCCTGGCCTGCTGTGTTCCTCCAGCTCCACACACTGTTATCTCTGACTCCAGCATCGGCAGTTCTTACTATCTCTGAGAGAAGGGAAAGATTGCATTTTTTCTAAAAGAAATCTAAATACAGGGGTTAGGAAATGGATGAAATTAGAGCTGGTTAAAGTGATTTGACAAATTAGATTGAAAGGATAGGCCAATAGAGACGCAGTGCACAGAATAGATACATTACGATGAGTAAGAAGAATTTCAAGAGACAGGCCCATGATCTATGGTTAACTAGAAATGTTGAAGATTTTATCAAACTAAAAGAAACAGCATAAAATTATGTAAAGGGGTCTTGTTCAGGTGGTTATGTCCCTACCTCTAGACTAGAAGGTTTGGGTTTAAGTCGCACCTACCTTGAGTTCTGTCATAACATGTCCAAACAGGTTACTGAAAACAATTAGTCATACAAAGACAGTTGGTAAGTCAGAAGATTGGACAGAATATTAAAGAACAAAATTCAAGGGATCACTAAAAAATTAATGAGAAGAAGTAGAGTGCAAGAGGAATCTAACAAGAAATATAAAAAATATATAGTAAGGGCTTCTATAAATATTTAAAGAAGAAAAGAGAATTGTTAACACTGTCTCTTTCTTCCCAAATGCTGCCAGGCCCCTCTCGGTTGTCCAGTACTTCCTGTTTTCATCACATTTCAAAAGCATTTCTTGCGCAGCACAGTGCTCCAGGAATCCTTCAGTTGTGGAAACCATTTAATAATTTCAAGTTTATCCCTGCACCTCTGTTGTTGAGTTTATTTACAAGCCTTGGTGTTTCTGCAAATGTAACAATAGATAAATCCAGAAGTCTATATATCATTTCCCACTAAGGAAGTCCTCCTCCTCTTGGAGAAGTTTCTGACCAGAAAACAAACCTTTATACAGGACAACACCTGGTTATGTTCCAGAAAGTTTCTTTGCTGAATATCAAAAATTGTTAATAGTTGTGTTTTGAAGGTCTGCTTAATCTTGAGGACAGATATTTCCTTTTGACTAGAACTCTTCTTCAAATTCTCTAGTTAGAAACTAGAATTCTAACTTTAAATCTTCTATCATTAGATAATGTGCAGCCAAAGATGAGATAAGATAACGTTAGCTTTCTGTTAGTCCTTCCACCCAACTTGTCTCATTGTTTTTGGCAACCATTGATTATCACCATTTAACTGAACTCATTGATATTGACAAAGCTGAATGGCAGCTGAACAAAATTGCTTGTCATCATTTGACAGGACTTGAGTTTTGCAGAAAATGACACATTTTGTTGTAGCTTTTTGTATTGCAATCACCAGGGCAATCTGCAAGACTACCAAAATCTACCTGTAACTAATTTGCTGAGTTGGGCGAAAGAAGTAAAGGAAAACCAGACATTATTTTGTCTCATCATTGCCAATGACAGAATACTTATGATGAGCTTCTGGCTTCCCCTTAGATTTTGTATTTTTGTGAATTGTCCTGATGATTGCAAGATGAAAAAATGTGACAATGTGTCTTTATTTTCAGCAACACTCATGATTGCTGATTTTGCTTTTCTCTACTGAATAGCAAAATCTGACACAATTTGAAAAGCTGATGGCCATTTTAGTGATATGTGGTGCAAATGACCATTGTTCGTGTTAGCTTATACCAAAAGCTATTGGAGTAGATTGGGCAGGATATAGATCCAGGGTGGTCAGATCCTTTCTTTACCCCACAATTTTCAGCAAACGTTTACTGGCAACCATTGAAACGAAGGAGCCCGTCAGCTGCTTTTAATATCCTTACACTTTACATACTGGGTACTGCAGCCACAAATGATGCACTGAACTGCCTTAGACAACAGGAGCAGGTGAAGTTTCAAAACTGGGATCAATCCATTCCGACGGCATTTGTGTGATTGTACAAATGGAGCTCACAGATGTGCAGGTTAGGGTGGATTGGCCATGCTAAATTGCCCAGGGATGCATAGGCTAGGTAGATTAGCCACGGGAAATGCAGGGTTATAGCAATAGGGAAGGGAGGTGTGGGATGTTGGAAGATCGGTGTGGACTCAATGGGCCACACTGTAGGGATTCTATGATTAGGAGAGCTTATAAACAGTGATCTGAATTAGTTTCAGACATGGTTAGGAGTGATATCTCTCTCTCTCCCTCCCTCTCCCTCTCGTTCTGACATACTGAGTTTCCGTATAGATTACTGTGTTCCCACGATGACCCAAATAATTGTTTGCTGAACAATACGCTCACTCGGGTAGAATGATGTGTGTTGGAGGATATTGAGCTGATGAATCAAAATCTTTCACTCCGTCTGGACAGGGATTGGCTCCAATTTCTTAGTGACTAGCATATTAAAGGGGTTTGTGCCCTGCTGGTACAATATTAAGTTGAGCTATGACAAGAGGCCTCTGCAGCTGACACTCCCGAATCTCTGAACCCCACACCTCGCCCCTTCGAGGACAGCATGTTATTTGTTTGGCTAATCATTCTACTTGAGGCAGAAGCTGACGCAAAAGAAGCTGATTGACCTTTGATCCTGTGGGTGTCAGCTGGTGTAAAATGCTCGTTCTGTTTTGAAAACGGCACAGTTTCTGTGTGAGCAAAATTAAAACTTCATTGACAGCCACCTCCGTCATGATACTGGCAACAGAGGGAACCACTTTGGGACATTCAGGGAGGTCATTCAACCTACAGAGTTCATCAGAAAGCCTGACTTCATAAAACTTTATCCGGCTGTTGGAAAGAGTGAGCAAAATGTCACCTGATCCTTTTCACAATTGTAATTCATTCAAGGATTAAAGCTGTTTAACAACCCAACGTTAATTAAGCCTTTAAATGTCTTGCAGCCAAATTGGTTTTTAAAATTAATTAAAAGGCTTTTAAGAACTTTGTGTTGTAACAAAGAGTCTCCCTCACATTTTGCTTCTTACTCCTCCTGAAGAATAAGAGCACTGACTCTCATGGAGAGCAGGCTACATAGGCCTTAAGCTTACTTCAGTAGTTTCTCCAATAGCCTTTCACTTTCAAAGAGCTATTTAGCTGCTAGGCCGTCACATTCCTGATCTGGTGCCTCAGTTTCTACTGGGGTCACTGCCAGTTCCAAACTCTCTGCGAACAGAACAACAGATAATCACATCACAGGATGGAGCTATGGTCCGCATTCACTAACGTGCACTCTCCAAATTACTCCTTGAAGTTTCGGGAGTTTAATTCACTTTTACAGAGTGTTATAAAGGGCAGGCTTAAGAGCAGACAGTCATTCAGGTTGAATTTCAGATTTCATTCTGACTGAGTGAAAGTCAGTTTAGTGATCCCGGAATCAAGTGGCCCTGCTTGTTAGGCTTAATTCACCTCCATAAAATGAAGCATCATCTAGTCTTTGTGATGGCAGTATGGCACCTCCAATAATGTTACACTCCCCTGTTACTACACTGAGTACAGCTTAAAGTTTGCGCTCCAGTCTGGTGGGATTTGAACCCACAACCTTTGAATTCAGAGATGAGTGCACCATGCTGAGCCACAACAGGAAGAAAGTGAGACAGGACTTCTGCTAGTTTAGGAAGAGGCACAAAGTAGGTATTGTCCACTGTTTCAATGGGACCTCCCTTCAGCAGACCACTATAGGGTATCAGGGACGACAAATGGTTCTTATTTGCTTGTTCAGAACAAAATTAAGAAGCTTTTGGTCATGGGATGTGTAATTGGATCAGTAGTGATGCTATTCTTTACTTTCCTTGCTTTAGGAGGATGAGGAGTTCACGATTAGGAGTTTGCAAGCCTTTATGATGAGATACCAAAATTCTGATGCCAATCCACTATAATATTGACTCTTCTGTCACATCCACCAAAAAAGCTGAGCAAACAAAATGTCTCAAAGGTATTCAGAAAGTAACCTGGAAGAAAAGTCTCAGGTCTTGGTGTTGGAACAGACATTCAAGTCTGACTTCCAGATTAACTCTGACTCTGACAGGTTGATGACCCAGAGTGGTAAATCTTCACTCCTGGAAGTGGACAATCTGGCATTGGGCAGTGCCAATTCCATGCCATCGCTCTCAGACTTACCAAAGGTGGTTTTGAGCACAGACAGTCCGGCTGCACTGAAGAACGGGCAACAGCAGATTATCCCCAGCAAATTGGCCGTGACGACCAAGACTAAAATGCGGCCTCAGAGCAGTGGGCCCTCCGGGAAGCGGGATAGCGGCAGGAGGGAAGTGCGGAGCATGCCACCGACTGACCTGCAATATGAGGAGGGGAGTAATACAGGGAGCTCGAGTGGGACACTGCAACGTAATCGCCGCAACATGTCGTATAAGGTGGCAACGGACAGCTTGTCTGAATACTCGGAGGAGAAGAAGCTGTTGTCTCCTCCCACACTGCCACCATTAGGGGAAATGCCAACAGTGCAACCAGCTCGAAGTCCAGGCAGGACCAAGGTAGGGCATATCTGATCGTAGCTATGATGTGTAAAACTATCATCTTCCACCTATTATGCAACACTGGTGATGTACCCCATCTCCCAGGATCTCCAGTGATGCCCCTAGTGCGCAAAGGCCCTTATGTGTGTAATCATAAAACAGGGTGGCTCAGTGGCTAGCACTGCTGCCTCACAGCGCCAGAGTCCCGGGTTCAATTCCACCCTCGGGCAACTGTGTGTGTGTGGAGTTTGCACATTCTCGTTCTGTCTGTGCAGGTTCCCTCGCACAATCCAAAGTTGTGCAGGTTAGGTAGATTGGCCATGCTAAATTGCCTAAATTTGTCCTGAAGTGTGCAGGCTGCGTGGGTTAACCATGGGGAAGTGCAGGATTACAGGGATAAGGTGATGGGTCTGGGTGCGATGCTCTTCAGACGGTCAGTGTGGACTCGATGGGCAGAATGACCTGCTTCCACACTGCAGGCATTCTATGAATCCTGATTAACTTTGCACAACACTGACCAATTGTGCAGAAGAGCTGAAATTGAGGAAATGATATCTGTGAGCCCTACCCCAAGGAGACCTGGCACATGTCACCTACCCCACCCCTCCCTCCCCCAAAAGGGAGAATCATCGCCTTTGGGACTGTTGCCCCTCCCTCAGGAAAGTGCAGACATTTAATTCTGGGTTGGGGGGCAGGGGACTGTAAACTTCAATAGTTACTAAGCATTGAATCAATCAATTATTTTATCATTCAAGATAAAAATAGAAGCATAGGGTCTTGGGTGAATTGGTCATGCCTCTGGACCAGAAGGCATGAGTTCAACTCCCAATTCGGAATGTGATGGTCATACATGTGGGTTATAGAATATCCGAACAGATTGCTAACAATTGCAATAAAATGGTAGCAAAGGAGAAGTTTGCATATCGAATTATCTCTCAACCTGGAGGATTAGGGACACTCACAGTTGCCTCCTCTTCTTTGTTTGACTTTATAATTTTAACAACTGGTCTCTTTCCCTTAGCGAACATTAGGAAGAAAGAAAGGACCCAGAAATCGAAGTTCCTTTAAGGATGGTAAGAGCAAGACGAGTGTGAGGATGGAACGTGGGCGGAAGTGATCGAAGCAGTTCGGAGATCAGTTTGCCCGGGTGGGTGGAGGTGGGGGGGAGGAATGGTACGGTTTTGGGGAGTTTGTGGATACTGGGACTTGGCAAATGATTTAAAGCTTTGTACATTCTGTCTCCGAAGCATTCAGCAAAGGGAGAAACAGTCAGTTTGTCTGGTTTTGACGGTTGAGCAAGAAAAGTTGGCCAGGATCTTCGGGAGAACTCCCTGCTGAGTTCGCTCGTGGTCAAGCAGTTCGCACTTTGTTTTAGTGCCTGGATTGTTGCACATGGGGAAGGATTTGTAAAGAACAGCCCCACCCCCCACCCCCGGCAGCTCACCACCGTCTTCTCGAGGACAACTAGGGATGGGCAATAAATGCTGGCCCAGCCAGAAATGTCCACAACCCTGTAATCATGTTATTGTCCACCAGACATACCCCAGTATTAGCATCCTTACCATTGATGAGTCCAGAATGGTAATTAGAAAGAAAGTCAGTCAGTAACCTGTGGAGGGAAGGGCTTATCGTTAGTGCTGTTGCTCTGGTAGTCCAACTGGCTTTGGCTAAACATCCAGCTATGCCCTTGTTGATACTTGGACCTCCTGCTCAATGCCTTGATTCTTGGGACCTGGCCACGTGAGTTGTTGATCTCTAGGTAGAAACTGTGGGCATCAGATCCTGAAAAAGAACGAACACTGCCTGTGTGACTCTCACCATAATAGGTGAGTTTTAAATATACCAGTGGACTTTCATGTATTTCAAATATCAGGTTTGACCAAGAAACAAAAGTGAGCATTTGATGGTCGAGGTGGATGTGAGGGAAATTGCTGTGTCCAGTAAGGGAGTTAGCACCTACAGGAGAGGAGGGGGTTACGGTGCTCCGGGGAGAGTCAGCACCTTCAGGAGAGGAGGGGGCACACTGTACCCTGGGGAAAGCACCTTCAGGAGAGGAGGGGACACACTGTACCCCGTGGAGAGTCAGCACCTGTGGGAGAGATGGGCTTCAGTTTGCAGTATAAAATGTGAAGATGCTCAACTGGAATGTTTCTGGGGCAGATGACAGGAGTGATGAGCTTATTGGAGGCTCTGGGATTTGTTTACGGGCTGTCTCTTCTCCAATGCAGTGAGAGGTTTTTAATGTGCTGATTTGTAATTCGGAATACTTCAGCAGGTCCCTCAAGCAAACCTGTCACATTCCCCATTGGCAAGTCACCTTCTGACAGAGCTCCAAGGTGCAGGTCAGAGCCAGAGTGAGGAATTGAGGCCCACGGTGCAGGGTTTAAAGTGAGAGACTTTATTTGAAGCGGTTGATCCGAGAAGAGATGGATCCTGGTCAGCCGGCAGAGAATCCTATCCTGGGTGTGTTCCGCCGTTTCTCCCTCTGGCAGAGGGAGGGTTTAGAGAGGCCGAGTGATAGCCAGGGCTGGTGGGGGAGGAATGAGTAACCTGTGTGAAACAGTCAGCTCCCTCCTGAGTAAACTCCTGTCTTCAGATCCAAGGCTATACCAGGAGGTGCGGGAGAGAGGCCTGGACAGTGTTCCGGAGTCGGATGATGATTTGTTGGATGATACCAGGCACTTGGAATCTGCAGAACCAGACGACAAGATTGTGGTTCAGAATTACAGACCGGCACAGATGACATGGAGCCAGTTACCACAGGTCAGCTCATGTGGGGGATTGTTTGCACGTGGTTGTTGTAATTTGGATTGTTAGTTAAATATACAACCTCTCTGCAATTATCAAGGGGGAACTGTAATCAAACACAGTCGATGCTGACACAGTGACTAGGTGGCATGTTGCTTGAAGTGCCATCTTTCTGGTCGGATCTTAAACCTTAAGCCTATCTCCCAATTTCAAATATCTTGAAAAGTAATTAATTGGATGTAAGGCACTTTGAAAGGTCCTGATGTTATTAGTGACAGGACATAAATACAGGTTTCTTCTTTAGGTCTTTAATCCTTTGGGCGCTAGTACAATTCCTGACACCGGCTCTCTGACACCCATCCCATCTTGTTTCAGGTTCTAGAGCAAGGGATTCTGCACAGACTGCCAGCTGAGGAACGCAAGAGGCAAGAGGTACAAACCTGGTCATTGCTGAGCATGTTTGACGCAAGGAATGTTGCAAATCAGGAAACGATCATGGCAAATAGACCGGAGTGTGAAAGGAGCCAAATGTCAGATACTCGCGTCATGTTTTGTTCCTGCAAATTCAGAGTGAAGGGCCAGAGCCTCAGGGTCCAGTCCCCAGTGCGGGGAGTGTCCAGGGCAAAGGGTCTGACCCCCAGTGCGGGGAGTGTCCAGGGCGAAGGGTCCGGCCCCCAGTTCAAGATGCTACTAAGGCTGGGGAATAAAGGAGCTGATCATGATTATTTACACCATAGATTCCCGTTGCCATGATGTGATTTGAAAAGCCTGTTTGCAGGTAGAAGGGACAGCTTCACTGTCTGAGTTTGGGAATCTGAAGTCCCAGTTTGGTCTGTCAGTGATGAGTTGTGTGAGGGACTTCGGGCCAAAGCGTCAGAATTCCACTCTCAGCTCCAGTTATGTGTTCCACATTCTAATTATTTTCAGGGGAAGGAAGATTTCAGCACAAGAACAGGCCCTTCAGCCCATTGTGTTGTGCTAGATACGAAGCCAAGTTAAACTAATCCCTTCTGCCTGCCCTTGGTCCAGACCCCTCCATTCCTTGCATATTCATGTGTTTATCTAAAAGTCCCTGAAACGTCCCTATTGTATCTCCCTCTGCCTCCACCACCATCCCAGGCAGTACGTTCCAGATTCCTTCCACTCTGTGTTTTAAAAAAAAAACTTGCCTCTCACATCTCCTTTGAACTTTGCCCCATCACCTTAAATGCATGCCCTTAATGCACTTGGTTCAGAAATTCCTGATCAGTGTAGCATTTCAGTGCTAACCCTCTCAAAATAGTTGGAGTTAGGGGATGTTTTAGGGAGGAATTGAGGGAGTGAAACTCTGCATTTCTGTTGAGCATTTGATGCTTTCACTGAGTGTTTGAAACAGTGATTGACAGAGATTAAAATACCTGACATGCTTCCTGCTATTGACCATTATCCAGTAACCAGGGGAGATGGTGGTGTGTGGTAATATCGCAGGTTAATAAGCCGGAAGCCCAGGTTAGTGAGTTCAAATCCCACCATGACCAGTGAGTAAATCTGGAATTGAAACTAGTCTCAGCAAGTGTTTTCAAAATGTTTCTGCTTAGCTAATATCCTCTAGGGAAGGAAATCTGCTGTCTTTACTCGGTCTGGCCTCAATGTAACTCCAGCTTCACAGCAAAGTGGTTGACTCTTCTCTGTTCTCTGAAATGACCCTAGCAAGGTCCTCAGTTCAAGGGCAACAAATGCTGGACATGGAAGAAAACTAGAATAAAGTAAAACACTACTGGCTAATCTGTTGATTAACTCACATCAAGGGCTGGATATCTGCTGGAGACTCTGAGTCCAGGCTTACAGAGGTAGAAATGTTGCTTTGGAAGGTGCGTGGCCTTTGGTACTTGGCTAATTACTGAATGGAAAATGAAATGCCCTGTTTAATATTTTTCTTGCATCAGGCCATCTTTGAGATCATTGTATCTGAGCACTCCTATCAGCACAGTCTGACAGTCCTGGTCGACATGTTCAAGAACTCAAAGGAACTACAGACGACCATGACCAGCACTGAGCACCATCATCTCTTCTCCAACATAGGTGACGTTCAAGACGCCAGTAAAAGGTGGGTCTGTGGATGTGGATGAGATAAAGGGGACGGTGCTGAGGGAAGCACGGTGGAGGGGAAGGGAGTGTCAGTAAGGAGCATGGCCGTTTGAGTGGAGATTTCAACTGTGTGAGACAAAGACCAGGCACGTAGATCTGTGAATTTCGTTCAAAGTTGGAATTTGACTGGTCCATCTTTTACTAGCTGGCTGCGCCCTCAGCTCTGGAGTCCCCTCTTTAAACCTCTCTGCCTCATTCCCCTCCCTTTAAGGCTTACCTTAGAACCGAACTTTCTGGTCATCCCTGACATCTCCTTCTGTGGGTAAGTGTCATATTTTGGTGTGTCATAGTCCCGTGGTGTGACTTGGAACGTTTCACTGTATTAAAGATGCTATATAAGTGCAGGTTGTAATTGTTAGTCCAGGGTGCTTAACAGAGTCAGAATGTTGGTGAAAGATTTGTCATATCTGCCAGTAGCTGAAGCAGGCATGTTGGAACAGGAGCACCACCCAAACTGCTTTTCTTTTGGCTGACTCCAGTGGTACAAAGACCGGCTGGGACTTGAATGTTCTTCAGGTTATTTACTGTGCAAAAAGGTGTTCTTTTCCTCCATGTTTCCAACAGGCTGACCAGGGTTCTCACTGTAACGCTGAGCAAAGGAGTTGATTGTGGGTGGGGGTGGTGGTGGAGGTTAAGTTTACCAACTTAAGTTAACCTTGTTACATGTGTGTTCATTGACGTTGCTGCCTTTTCCCTGCAGACAGGGCGATACAGCTGCAGTCTGCAGCAAGTTTTCCCAGAATCCCATCGCACAGATCGCCTGGAGCAGTAACCGAGTTCTGGAAAGCTGACAAACCTGGTTTCAGTCGCGCAGTTTCACTTGGCATTAGAGTTGCCTGTGAATGTGCTTAGATGCCTGTTCCCATTTCTTGAACGTGCTGACTCTTTGAAACGTAGAAAATAGGAGCAGGAGGAAGCCATTCGGCCCTTCAAGCCTTCTCCGCCATCCAGGGTCATCATGGCTGATCATCCAGCTCCCACTTTCTTCCCATATCTTTTGATTCCTTTAGCCCTAAACATTATGTCTATTTCCTTCTTGAACATTTAATATTTTGTCCTCAAATGCTTTCTATGGCAGAGAATCCAGGCTCCCCATTCTCTGGGTGAAGAAATCACTTCTCATTTTAATCCTAAACGGCCCACTCTGTGTCCTTAGACTGTGACCTCTGGTTCTGGACCTCCTGGCCTTTGGAAACATCATTTACCTGGGCTAGTCTTGACAGGATTTATAGCTCTCTATGAGGACCACCTCATTCTTCTAAACTCATTGACTACAGTCCTAACTGATCCTATCTCTCTTCGTACTTCAGTCCTGCCACCCCAGGAATCAGTCTGGTACACCTTTTCCTAAACTCCCTCCATAGCCAGAACATCCTTCTTCAAATACTGTACAAATGCTCCAGGTGAGCCTCTTTCAACTCGAGCCCCCTCTCTGTGTCCTTTTACTCCGACTCGACTCCCCTCTCTGTGTCCTTTTACTCCAACCCGAGCCCCCTCTCCGTGTCCGTCCGCTCCGACCCGAGCCCCCTCTCCGTGTCCGTCCGCTCCGACCCGAGCCCCCTCTCCGTGTCCGTCCGCTCCGATCCGAGCCCCCTCTCCGTGTCCTTTTTCCCTTTTTCCATCAACTGTGCATCAATGCTGTCTGCTTTGGCTACACCATGTGGCAGTAACTTGTATATTGTCACTGTCTGTGTCAAGAAATTCCTCCTCAAACAAACTGTGGTTGATCTGTTGGTGATTATATTCTCCTTATGTCACTGTGTTCCGGGACTCACCCACAACTGGAAACAGTTTCACTGATTCCACCCTGTGGAGTATTGTCAAAGGTTTATAGACCCAGAACAGGTTTCTTGCTTTTCCAGAGGAAAGACTCCCAGCTGATAGTTGGATCCAACTTTACAACAGAGGCAACGTGTAGAGTAAAGGATTAGCTGTACCTTTAGTCGAAGAATAGATACTGAACACGTGCTCTTTCATAATGATTTTGGTTCATGTAGACCTGGAGCCTGAATGTGTGGGTTCCAGGAGGTTGCCTTGCTTTTCATCCCTTTGCATATAATTATGTTTAATAAAGCCTGATCATTTCTGCTCTCAAGACCTGACCTTACTACTCTTCCAAAAGATCAAGTACTGCAGAGGTTGTAAAACACTTTGCGATGTGTTGAGCTTGTGGGAGGTGTGCTCAGTATCCTACAAGTGTGGTCCAACTGATGTTTTAATTTAAATTCTATTCCTCCAGCAATGAACTCCAGCAGGAGGGGCCTCGATGCCAGACACAGTTCTGTCCTTGGCCATTATTTGTGGCCCTTTCTAATAACAACAACTTGCATTTATATGACACACCTTTCAACAAAGTTGATCATGAAAGTGTCTCATAGAAGCAGTACCATGCCTGATTCGACCGTAAACCAGAGCCCAAGGTAGTAGATGACCAAAAACTTGGTCAAAGATGTAAGTTTTGAGCGGCATCTTAATGGAGAAGGAAGAGAAGTGGAAAGGCCGTGAGGTTTAGGGAGGGGAAGCCCAAAGCTTAGCACACGAGTAGATGAAGGCTCAGCAGCTGATTGTTGATTAAAATGAAGAAAATGTAGCAAGGTGCGGAGCTATTGGGCTGGCAAATGTTATGGAGTGAGTCAGGAGGGATTTGAACCTGAGGTTGAGAATTGAAAACTGTGGCATTACCAGAATGTGAGCAGAGGGTTGCTGGGTGAGAGGCCTTGTCATGAATTAGGATACGGGGTATCGGAAATGTGGCTGGACTCCAGCTTGTAGAGCATCAGGTAGAGGCTCAAAGTACCAAAGGTATGGATATGCATTTGAGCAGCAGCTGGGGCTGTAGTATCACAGACCAAGGTGCAAGTTAAGTGATCTTGGTCATCAAAAGTCAGAATTTTCCTGGCTCAAACAGATGGCACCTCGGGCAGTGCGGCCCCCAACTCCCTTAGTGCACCCGTCCTCACTCTGGAGCCCTCTCACCTGGATCCCACTAAAGCGTCAGCAAGAACATCATGCTCAATTCCTTGAGGTGAGGCTTATACCTACCATTGTCTGACTCGGAGCCAGAGCTAATGTGTGGGGCTTTATATTGAAGTTGCTTGGCACATAAGGTTTTTGTGTCACTTACCAATTCCAAAGACTGGTTTATATTTAAAGGTGTTGGGTGCAGGGGCAAGTCTGTTACATCAAATTGCTGCTAGTGGGGTAAATATTAACTATAGAGTCCACAAGGGCAGAGAACAGAATCCAATCTTTTTGTTTCGGAGGGGCAAAGGTCACTTTCTGAAAACTTCTGTTCAGTCACGGAGACGTGCTGAAAACAGATGGAGCAGAGAAGATAACAAGCAGAGACTCCAAATGCTTTGGTTGAATGTTAAGAGTTGTAGTCCCTTCATGCTTATCAGTTAAATTAGAATCACATTAAACACATCCCTTTAATCTGAATAGAATCCCTACAGTGTGGAAGCAGGCCATTTGGCCCATCAAGTCCACACTGAACCGCCACCCCCAAAGAGCATCGCACCCAGACCCAAACCCCACTCTATTCCTGTAACCCTGCATTCCCCATGGCTAACCCACCTAGCCTGCACATCCCTGGACAGAATGGGGCAATTTCCCATGGCCAATCCACCCTAACCTGCACACCTTTGGACTGTGGGAGGAAATGGGAGCACCCGGAGGAAACCCACGCAGACACAGGGAGAATGTGCAAACTCCACACAGACAGTTGCCCGAGGCTGGAATCGAACCCAGGTCCCTGTTGCTGTGAGGCAGCAGTGCTAACCACTGAGCCACCGTACTTCCCCAATAGATGAACACTTCCCACCCCCAAAACTGAACACCATGGCCTTTGACAAAGGCCTCTGGTTAAAGGGACCTGTTGGTAAATTGGTAAATTTGAAATGAAAGGGCCAGTGAGCTGATGGTAAATTGACAGATTTCTAAGTAAAGGGGCAATGAGCCGATGGTAAATTTGGCTCCAAGAAGATTGTGTTACTCCTTTCCTCCCACATACAAATGTGGGAGGAGGGTGAGCAATGATGAGGTTGCTGTGATGTTTCCTGGGTTTATATTTTGTTAACCTGTGTGTCAGAAAGTCAGTGGGTGGTTGTGATCTGACTGGAACACTTCCAGCATCAGCAGCTTTCGAGCAACTGAATGAAGTGTAGACCAGTGTGAGTGTTTGGGATTTAGTGCTTCTCTGGAGAAACTGTGTGTGTGTGTGTGTGTGCACACCTCCTCCATTTCTATACATGGATCCCTTGCTTATTCTGTTACTGGCAGGGTCCCTGAACTCGAGCCAATCCTGTGAATTAGTTTGTATTTATCTCTTGATTTGGGTTTATTGTATGCGGGTACGTCCCTCTGTGGCATTGCTCTCAGTAATCCGATGATGTGCGTTGACCGAGATTGGCTGTGGTCCCAAAATCACCTCCAATTTGAATCTATCGTGATGTTCAAATTACCCCATGACAAGACCTTTCCCTATCTCTATAATCTCCAACAACTCTCAGATCTCTGCGTTCCTCCATTTCTTTTACATATCCCCACCTTTAGGGCTGTGCCTTCAGCTGCCCAGGTCTTGAGTTCATTTCTCTAAACCTCTCCACTGCTCTGTGTTCCCCTTTTAGAGATGCTCCCTAAAGCTTGGTTCTTTAAACAAGCTTTAATTTCTCCGCATTTTGTATGCTCAGACTCCTGTGCAGCACTTTGTGATGATCTCCTTCACTGAAGTTGCTATATCAGTGCAGGTTCTGGGTGCAGAGCATTGTAATGCAGCTTTTTGGTGGGATTGCTGAGGGGTCAGTTTAGCTGGTTCACAGCGTTTCATTACTGTCCCACCCAGAGCTCAATGATTGGTTTGTCGCTGTTGGTGAGAGAGGGAGGTTTGCAGATTGGGAAGTTGATCTCCAGTTGAGGGTCGGAGAAATCCAACAAGTCATATTCTCCTGTTCTCTAATAGATTGACTCTGTGACTTTCTTTAGATTTTTTGAAGACCTTGACACGAGACTCCAGCAAAACCCGGTCATCCGAGACATCAGTGACATTGTGGAGCACCACGCATCGCACTGTTTTGGTGCTTACATCGTCTACTGCTCAAATGAAATCTACCAGCAACGAACGCTCGAGAGATTGCTGTAAGTACAGCAATTTGGGGCGGCCCTTGTGATTCTTCAACACTGCTGATTCGAAATGGTGTGTCAGTCTGTAGCGAGGCCTGCTCTCGGCTTTGTGGATGGGTCACTGTTGGCTGTTGGTTAATGCTGTACTTTTCACTCTTGCAGCAATTCCAACACACTTTTCAAGGAAACCCTGAAGCGGATTCAGAGGAATTCAAAGTGTGGTGGCCTGCCCATCATCTCCTTCCTGATTCTACCCATGCAGAGGGTGACCCGACTCCCACTCCTCATGGACGTAGGTGTCATTTTTTCTCTGTGTGTCTGTCTCTGTCTGATTTGGATTGATTTGAAGTTAAAAACAGATCAACCATGATCTTGTTAGATGGCACAGCAGAATCAAAGGGCTGAGTGGCCTGCTGTTGTCCCTTATTTGTATGTAGCACTCACTGGCTTGCTATTGATCACAAGACTTCTTAATGACTGAAGGCTGACATCTCTATGCATAATCCTCGATGGGGAGGGACGGTGAGGTCTGTCTCCCAAACAGCTGGTATTATTAAAAGTTCAGGAATAGAGTCAGAGTTTCACAGCATGGGAAGAGACCCATTGGCCCATCCATTCCATGCTGGTCGTCAAGCACCCATTTGTTCTCGTTCCATTTCCCAGCATTTGGCCCCATAGTCTGAAATGCTGTATCGTTTCAGGTGTTCATCTAAATACATCTTGAATGCTGTGAGAGTGCCCACCCTACTGCTCTTTTAGGTCACGTATTCCAGGTACCTCCCATTCCCTGAGAGAAACATTTTTTCCTCAAAAACCTTCCCCTGACCTTAACCCTATGACCCTCTGGCCATTGACTCCTTTATTAAGGAGAAAAGCTTCTTCCTGCTTATGCTATCCATGCCCTTCATAAGTTTGAAGACCTCAGTCTGGACCACCTCTACCTTCTCTACTCTAAGGAAAACAACCCCAGCCGAGCGAGAATCTCTTCAGAACTGAATTGTTCCAGTCCAGGCAACATCCTGGTGAATCTCCTCTGTACCATCTCTGGAGTAATCATATCCTTCCTATAGCACACAGGACACTGTACTCCAGCTCTGGCCGACTAATATTATACACAGCTCCTCATATCCTCCTATCCTGTTCAATGCCTCTACTAATCAGGGCAAAGAGAACCTGACTTAGCTCAGTGATGTAGGGTAAATCTGGTAGAATCTCTGCTGAACTCTTCCTCTGTAATTTAATAAGGATGCAATGGAGCAGGCACTGGGAGAATATCTGTGTGGAGTTTGCATAGTCACCCAAAGCTGGAATCAAACCCAGCTCCCTGGCAATTTGAGGCAGCCGTGCTAATCACTGAGCCACTGTGCCAACCCATTTGGGCTCACATATTTCAATGTGGTGCAGTGGATGTCAGGTATTTTGGAACGTTCCTGAGAGGTACATGCAAGGTGTTGAGTCTCGCTCTCGTGTTCTCTCTCTCTCTCTCTCGCTCTTTGTTTCTCCCTTACTTCATTCTCTATCTCTTCACCAGACCCTAGGAGGACATTGGTATCAGTGGACATGGGACTTGGCAAGCTACTTGGGGAGGATGAGACAGAGTCTGGGACCAATGTTTTTGCTATTTGAAGACCTGTAGTGGCCTGGCCCCAGAACTCACTCAATGATGTGACTTTAGTGTCTTTTTCACACCAATTCTGTCTCCTTTGTCTTTCAGACTATTTGTCAAAAAACCAACCGTTTTCAAGTGGAGTATGCTGCAGCCACTAGAGCATTGAAAGCCATCAGTAAGGTACAGTTGGTCATTCTCATGTTCCTCAGAACAGGCAACACAAAGGGTAGTAGGTTATCGGTTCTCCATCTATATTCCACATGACCTGGTTTTCTCCTGTATTGGTCCTGAGGTTTGCTGAACCAGACAGGTTGTTCTGACACCACAGTCACATTCCTCCACCAGATTCATGTTCTAGGCAATCGACACAGCCCATGTTCTGTTTTGTGTCTTTTTGCAATTTTGTGCCTCTTCAGTGCAGCGCTGAAGGAGAGCTACACGGTTAGAGGTGCCACCTTTCAACAGAAAGTCATGTCAACGTCTGCTCCTCCATCTGAAGTAAGAGTAAAAGCACTCTCTCTGAGGAAGTGCAGGGAGTAGTCTGAATATGTCGGTTTCAAACAACATTATCTCGTTGCCTTTCGGACTTTCCTGTGCCTAAATTGGTTGCATTTCCATTGTGACAAAAATGGCTGCACTTCATGGTGTATTCAACTGACTGTGCTTTGAAATGTTCGCTCAGTTGGTCGGACGGCTGATTTGGGATGTAGAGTGACGCCAACAGTGTAGGTTCAAATCCTGCACTGGCTCAGGTTACCATGAAGGTCCTTCCTTCCCAACCTCAACCCTCACTTGAGGTATGGTGACCCTCAGGTGAAACCACCACTAGTCATCTCTCTCTCTCTAATGAGAGAGCAGCCCAATGATCCTCTGGGACTATGTGAACTTTACCTTCCATTATCCTTGGAAAAGTACTGAGATTGTGGAAGGTGCTGTATAAAGGTAGGTCTTCCTCGAGCTTTGTCTCCTGTGCTATCACACAGGCTCTGCCTTGCGTTTTCCTTTGGAGTGGAAGGTGGTGAAAGAGGACGGGTCCCTTGGCAAGTTGGGGTGGGGTGAAGGGGAATAGCAGTGCCTCAACATTGGGATGGGTCTGGGGATGATATCTGTATCTGTCACTGGGCTTGATCATTGTCTAAATATGGGAGGGAGGGAGCAGTCTGAAATTCCCTCATCCCCTTCAGTATAGTGCTGCCTCAGTTTCTCTGACTTAGAGACATTTAGGTATGCATGGGTTGCCCCCTGGTGGCGATCCTGCTGCAAACTGGTTCTGAAACTGGAAGAATAATCCGTAGAACTGAGCGTTCAAATCCCACCAGGGCAATTTGAGGATTTGAATCCAGTTTTAAAAAGAAGAAATCTGAAAGTTAAAAGCTGGTGTCAGGAAGGATGACAATGGCCATCAGTTTATAGTAAGAGCCAGCTGGGTTTTACCCGTGTCCTTTTAGAGATGGAGCCGTACCTTCCTTACCAGATTTGGGCCTACACATCACTCCAGTCACTGCACATGACTGTGACTGCTCCCAACACTTAGCTGAGAGGCTTTAGAGGGCAGCTCCTTACATCCTTCTCCACGATATTAGGGATGGACTGTAAATGCTGTCTCTCAGATGACATCCATATACCAAATAGTTTGATTAATGAGAAAACTCAAGCTCCCTTAAGAACATAGGAAAATGGGAGTAGGCCATTCGGCCCCTCTGCCTGCTGTACAAGAACATAGAACAGTACAGGCCCTTCGGCCCACTATGTTGTGCCGACCTATCACCCTACTCTAAGATCAAAACTAACCTGCATACCTGTCATTTTACTATCATCCATGTGCCTATCCAAGAGTTGCTAAATGTATCTGACTAATAGTTCAATAGGATCGTGACCAAACCCACACTCCTCACACCCACCTTCCCTGTATCCCTTCATACCTCTGTTATTGTCAGGATAGCAGAACCAATGAGTGTTTGAAGGGTAGGCCTCCCGCCTTAGGCTTCCAGCAGGGCCAACCCAGAGGAGAACAATCCAAAACAAAGCCCTTTTGCTTCCTTGCCGTGTGAAGCCATGGTAAGTGGACCCGAGAACTGAGGACCCAGACAGGGACCCTCTTGGACAGCGAAGGAAACACAGGTTGGGGATGTGTGGTGGCTGTAGGCTTTGACACCAAAATGGTCACCCATAATCTAGTCCCACTTTGGGTAGAACTGCAAATGCACATTTTCTTCAGTGTTTCCGTATAAAACCAATCATCTTGAAATGAGTTCCCTGTCACATTTACTTCCTGACTTCCACCAGGTCAGATCCACCAGACATCCCTTCAAATTTGACCTCAGTCGCCCACCTTACAGGACGGGAATGTTGGAGATGCTTGCAACTTGTCTGAAGTCAAAATACTGTGCAGTTGCCAGAAATCTGGAGAATACCGAAGAAACTCAACGGGTCTGGTAGCACCTTTCAAGAGAAAAACAGAGTTAACATTTCGAGTCCGTTCTGACGAAGGCTCACTGGATTTGAAAAGTTAACTTTATTCCTCTGTCTCTCCACAGATGGTGCCAGACTTGCTGAGTTTCTCCAGCATTCTCTGTTTTTCCTGCAACCAGGATTCTGCTGGGCCAATCTGGACTTTAACCCTGCCCTATTGGTGTATTTTCAGTTTTAGCTTTGTACTATTTGAGAAGTTGTTGGGTCAGTTTTGGGTGTTGCTGTGGGTTCTCCTGTTACCCTCGATGCTGTAGATAATGATGGGAACATCATTTCTCGTGACCGAGCTGTTTTTCTGTTGGTTCCAGTTGGTTAAAATGTGCAATGAGGGAGCGCACAGGATGGAGCGAACAGAACAGATGTGTACCATCCAGACGCAACTGGACTTTGGGAAGATTAAGGTACTGTATTCCAAACAGACAGTGCCTACATTTTGTGTGCATGTTTCCCCTCCCGCGCTCGGTCAGTCATTGCTAACTTGTCAGTCACTCACTGAAGTATGTTTTGTTTTAAACCCCTCTCGGTTCCATTCTCAGGTGGATGTGTATTCGGTCTTTTTCCTCATCACGATTATTGTTCTTGTGCACGTGTGTCTGTTGCTGCTTCCTTTACCCTAATCTCCTTTTCTGTCTCTAGCTTCCTCCCTCCCTTTCACCCCTCCGCCCGCATTTCCTCACCCCTCCTTTCCTTCCCTACACCCCCCACCCCCCCCCCCCCCCCCCCCCCCCCATCCCAGCCCTTCTGAATATCCCCTGTGTGTTCTAGGCCTTCCCTCTCATCTCCGCTTCAAGGTGGCTACAGAAAAGCGGGGAGCTGACCGTCTTTGTGGAAGAATCTGGAATCTTGCGCAAAGTGTTTGGGAAGCAAAGTTGTTTCCTCTTCCTCTTCAATGATGTGTTGATCGTTACCCGGAAACGAAGGTATCTCTCCTCTGCACGTCGCCTTGGAAACGTGGTCTTTGTGCGGAGACTGAAGATGAGTGTTGAGTCATGGGCCGAGACTGAGCGAGGGAGGACGGTTCAGGAGTTGCTGAAAGGGGTCACAACTGAACACAATGTCCCGACTCAATCACTGACCCCTATTGTCACTGGATGGAGATCCAGCGATTTCTGTTGCCTACCAGTCACAAGGACCCACTTGCGGTGCCTGATCATTCAGATCTGTCAGTTAAACATGAAGCCTGGATCGCTGGTTAATAATCAGGGGTTAGCCACTTAAAACAGAAATTAGACAATTTCTTTTTATCTCTTCTGAGGGTCATGACTCTCTCCCTGTAAATACAGTGGAAGCACAGTCCTTGAATATTTTTAGGACAGAAGTAAAAACATGGAAAATAGGAACAATATTAAGCCTTTTGAGCCTGTTTTGCCACTCCATACAACCAGGGCTGATCATCCAACTCAGCCCCCAGTTCCTGCTTTCTCCCCATACTCTAAGGCTGGTTCTTGCTAAGCCAGAGATTGAAGGGTTATCTAGGATAGGTAGAAACGTGCATTTGAGGTTATGATCAGCATTGAGGGTTTGATGGGCTGAATGGCCTACTCCTACTCCTAATTTGCACATTTGTATGCCTCAGTACACTGTCAGTTGGCACATTGGCCCAGATGATGATGGTGGGGTAAAGCAGATTTTGGGGACCATTGACAACAAAATGCTAGACCTCATTCGACCCTGTGTGCATGTGACTGTCTCTTCCCTTCCTCTTTCTACAAACACCAGGAAGGCGGAGGTCATGTGACTTCATGGACTGGGAAGGGAGGGATTCATGTGATATCGCATTGCCTTCCCCCATTGGAGAATTCCACATGTTGTCACCCCTTGTTCCATCTTTAAGCATTGCTAAAGTTTTGGGGTCAAAGGTCAGGTGTTGAGTCTGTCTCATTGATGTGACCAGGGACTGAAGCTTGTTGTCCTTTCTCGGCAGTGAGGAGAGCTACATGGTACAGGACTATGCCATGTTGGACCAAGTGGAGGTAGAAGCACTGGAGAGCAATGAGTCTCCCCACTCTCCCCCGGGCAAGGCCGTAAGTGGTGGAACCGTCCCTCGCAGCAACTCCAACACTTGCCTTTTCAAAATAATCATGAAGAAGAACAGCGCTGGTGAAATGGAGCAAATTGTGTTAGCCACGGAATCCGAGTAAGTGCCATCGATCAACTGCCTGCATTTTGGTGTTTGTGTTTCTGCTGGCGGACTGGAAATTCCTTAAGGTGTCCTTTCTGCTATTTCCCACCATCTGCCCCCTCCATTTTCCTCTTCTGTTCCTCCCTCCCACCCCACTCTTTGCCTCCAATGTCTTCTCCTCTTGGCCATCCCTGTTACGGAGATACCCCCTCCATGGGACATCCTACTGAACAAATGCCCGTATTCCAGCTCTGAGCTGAAGCAGCGACGTGTTGAGCACCACAGCTGAGGTCAGCACTAATCCTCAGGCCCTCTTTGTCTACAGGTTGACTTTATCGGGGAGTTCAGTGCAAAATACTCAGGCCCTATAGGAAGGCCCATGGTCTGTGTTGGTGACCCAGACACACCAACTGAGATCCATGGCCAACGGGACAGTTCTGTCTCCCCATATGGAGAGGGGAAGGACAACAGAAATCATTCTTTAGTTTGACCTCCTATCCAGAGTAGATCCTAGTGCAATTGTTGAAGTGAGGCTGATCCCTCCAATCTACTGATCCCAGATCCAATCTAATATTATCACCACGGAGAGCAGGAGCAGGGCATATTTCAGTTAAGTTGCCACCCCATTATCCCGAGGGCATCGCTCCTTGGTAAAAGAACCAATGCTATGAAAAAAAAACCAAAAGAATGCTGTAAATCAAGAGCAAGAACAGAAGTTGCTTGGAAAAGCTCAGCAGGTCTGGCAGCATCTGTTAAGAAAAAAATCAGAGTTAACGTTTCGGGTCAGGTGGCCCTTCCTGAGAACCAATGCTGTAAAGCCGTTCAGCAATTAGCTATTTCCCATCCTCTGTCCGCCTTACCCAGCAACTGACTCCAAATGTTGATCAACTTCAATCCTAAGATTCTGTCTGGTCTACTAATATATCACCAATCAATTTATTTGTTTTTGGGATGTGCCCTTCCCTAAGACCATTGGATCAACCACATATTATGACTGACTGAAAGCTTCAGGTAGACTCATTGAACTCTGGGAAAAACCAGATGCTGTTTTTTTTTTTTTTTGAAGCCAATTTTTTGCCCTGGTATGAACCCAATTATTGGTCCTTTTTGTTGAACCTGGAGCCAGCCCACACTCGGCTTATTTAAAATGAAAATCAAACTTGCAACTTGCACTGATGAGATTTGAGCCTTTAACTTCCACTGATCAGGCCATTAACTGTCTGCCCTTTCCACCACATCTTCCTCACCTTTAGTTTTCGCAACTCACAAACGGAAAATGGCCAGAAGCGGGCTTGTAGACCATGAAAGAATTCAATGTCACTAAACTGGATGATCTGAATATATTCGGTGTTCCCGGCAGAGATGCCAGCTCGAAGGGATTATGGAGTCATGCTTAGAGGAATGGCGTAACTGTTCCTGTTGTCAACCCATTGTCAACCTGCCCCCTCTTCAATCCTCAGTTTAGAAACATTCAGAAACCTTGTTTATCTTTTCTCTTGTGTCCCCAGTACTGGAGGTGAGGCAAATGTTTGTGAAACTAATGGCCCTTTCACTGTAGCTAAGCTTGGATATGATCATTTCTTTTTTCAGTCCAATAAGTATGTGTCCTCCATAATAACTGGAAAGCGATTGAATGGAAATTCTGCTTGTGGGAGGTTTGAGAGAGGGTGGTCAGACACCACCATCTGCTGGTTGTGCATGGAAGTGCAAGGTCTTAAGTTGGGTCATCAGCTGATACTGGAGAGGTGCCAGGCTCCTTGAGCAAGCAGCAGTGGACTGCGAGAAGTGGGTGGCTGTACCACAATGTGGGCCGTAAGTGGAAGGAAGTGAGGGGTGTGTTGGGGGGAGGGTGCAGGGGAAAGCGTGTTGTACTCTCCCTGGCTCCCTCGAGGTCACAGTGTAACGCGTGCACCGCTGCCGTTTCTTTCACAGGAGTGACCGAGCTCGCTGGATCCACGCCATCCAGGGGAACCATGACGACCTCGTCAATAAAGAAGGTACGGTCGGCACCGCGTCTGTACCACAGAAACCGAAAACATGGCTAAATGCCGCTGCCAGACCATTCACGGTCCTCGGAATCAAAACAATCCTGTATCCGCAGAAACTCTGATTCCTGCCCTTCACGTTACATTCAGTTCCATTTGCAAGCTGAACATGGTTGTCATGGTGATGCCTCCAGAATTGGAGGCGAAAGGTTTGGGTAATTATTGCTGATCTCAAAGTAAACTGCTACCAGTGACCTTAACTTTGGTCATTGAGGTAAGGAAGACTTTGCTGCCTTGTCACATTGCTCCTTTGTGTGAGGAGTCATGTTAACAAAACAGAGATGATTCTGCTCACAGGAAGTTCCCCTTCAACAGGAAACAAACCGTTGGGCAGAACTTACTGAAACAAACAAGATTCTCATAAATCTCATAAACTCCCTACAGTGTGGAAACGGGCCCTTCGGCCCAAGAAATCCACACCGACCCTCAGAACATCCCACCCAGACCCATTTCTTAGACAGTAAATAAAACTGTAGATGCTGGACATCAGAAACAGAAACAGAAATTGCTGGAGAAGCTCAGCAGGTCTGGCAGCATCTGTGGAGAGAAATCAGAGTTAACCTTTCTCAGAATTTTTAGACAATGTAGACGTAGCAAGGTTGTTTCACCTCATGGGAGAGTCTCGGAATAATCTCAGAATAAGGGGGTGCACATTTAGGACAGAGATGAGGAGGAAATTTCTTTTCTCTGAAAACTGTGAATCCGTGGAATTCTTGAGTTCAGAGGGCTATCGAGGCTGGGTCATTGAGTATATTCTAGGCTGAGACAGACAGATGTTTAATCAGTAAGGGAATTGAGGGTTACAGGAAAAAGGCAGGAAAGCAAGAGTTGAGGATTATCAAAGTGGCCATGATTTCATAGAATGGCAGAATAGGCTGGATGGGCTGAATGGCCTGCGTTTATGGTCAAATTGTTGCTGTTAATTCAGGGATAAATGTTGGCCGTGACGTGAGAAGCGCTCTCTGTCCCTGTTTGAACTCTGTAATTAGATTACCCTGAGCAGGCAGTGGGACCTCAGTTCATATCTGGGTGGCAGTGTGGCTCAGTGGTTAGCGCTGCTGCCTCGCAACACCAGGGACCCAGGTTTAATTCCAGCCTCGGACAACTGTCTGTGTGGAGTTTCCACATTCTCCCCGTGTCTGCATGGGTTTCCTCTATGTGCTGCAGTTTCTTCCCACAGTCCAAAGACGAGCAGGTTAGGTGGACTGGCCATGCTAAATTGTCCTGCTGTGTCCAGGGATGTGTAAGCCAGGTGAATTAGCCATTGGAAATGCAGGGTTTTGGGGATAGGTTAGTGGGGCGGGTCTGAGTGGGAAGCTCTTCTAAGAGTCGGTGTGGATTGGACGGGCCAAATGGCCTGCTTCCACGCTGTAGGGATTCTATGATCTCTCTCTGACAGAGCAGTCCTTGCTTGGTCCTGGCCTCGAATATGTCCTGGAAAGGGGCTTTGCAGCATCAGCATATGGTCAAGGGAAGCAACTTGACTTGAAATGATCAAAGACACACCCCTCCCCACTACCAGTCATTGGCTGAACAGTAACTGTGAATGCTGGACCCCAGGCCTTCTGAATATTGTGTGGTTTCAGTTTCAGGGTGGGACATGGGGAGTAAAATTTCAGCTCGGAAATTGATCAGTCAGGATTATTCTGTAGGGTCCCGTGAACCTCAGCTGCCAGTTGGGATGCAGCAGGAGGAAGGCTGGTTCCCTGTATGTTTGCTGAACTAGAACAGGGTGAAAGGGGAATATCAACAGCTGAGACAATCACACTCCCTCAGTCGGTGGAGGGGCAGCACCAAGGGATTGGAATGCCCACAAACCCTGTCTCTTCTTTACAAAAAAAAGCACTTTTAATGTGTGGGTGACCCTATATTGCAGATTCGGGCGTGAAGCTACAGCCTTCCCCCAGCCATACACTGTCTTACAGGCTCATGCTAAACTTGCATTGGCTCCTGAACAAAAACAGAAGTTGCTGGAGAAGCTCGACAGCTCTGGCGCATCTGTGAAGAAAAAATCAGAGTTAATGTTTCGGGTCCAGTGACTCTTCCTCAGAACTGATCTCAGGAAGGGTCACCGGACCCAAAACATTAACTCTGATTTCTCTTCACCTGCTGAGCTTTTCCAGCAACTTCTGTTTTTGTTCCTGATTTACAGCATCCACAGTTCTTTCGATTTTTACATTGGCTCCTGCTCCACCAACACTTCTTCTGAAAATTTCAACCTCTGATTCCTTTATAGCTTCACAGCTATCTACCTCTGCAAGCTCCTCTATTCCTGCGCATCCCCACCTCCGGGAGCTCTGCGTCCTCCTCCCCCCACCCTGCACCCTCCACCCCCTCCCACCCACCCCTACCTCTGGGAGCTCTGTTCAGCCCCCCACCCCTCCTCCTCTGAGATCTCTGCCCACACCCCCATTCTCCCCCACCCACCCCCTTTACTCCTTCAGTTTGGTCCTCCTCCTCCAGGAGCTCTCCTCTCCTCTAATTCTGGGATCTTGAGCGATCCTAACTCTTTCTTCCATCATTGGGAACTGGGCCTTCAGCTCGCAAGCTCTTTGAGTTGTGGCATTCTGTGTTTAACTTCTTCTGCCCACCCCCTTTCACAGAGGTTTGTTTAGTTTGCCAGTGGCCAGTGTCAATGTCTGGATCGATGGTCACACCTATAAGGTGCCTTAGCACTTTACTACCAAGGTATGTGAGGTACTATTGGAATACAAATTGCTGCTGTACGGAATAACCGGCTTTCTTTCCTTTTCTCCTAGGCCTCCCACAGGTGGAGATTATCAAAGCCTTCCTGGCCAAACAGCCAGATGAGATGACACTTCAGCAGGCCGATGTGATCATTGTTCTCCAGAAGGTTGATGGTAGGTCTGAGGCAGGAAGCCTGTGATGCGAGTCTTGAGATAGATTTCTGAAAGTGTGTGGAGTTTGATCCCAGTCCGTGCAGGCAGTGAGAATGTTGCTATTACAATCAGGCTTCAGCCTCCCAGGATGGAGGAGGGTCTACAATGCAGAGGGTTGGGTCAACCATGCTGTTTCCTTTAGGCACCGTTCAGGTTAATTCGATGGTGATGGCCGCTGATGCATACTCCCTCCTGGAGCTTTCAGCTGAGGGTAGGAGAGTATGATCAGAATCAAACAGCGCAGGAGAAAACCGTTCATCTCATTGCTGCTGGGCCATGTCTTTGAAACTGCTGTCTAAATTAGTTTCTTTTCTGTCACCTTTTCATTTTTTTAAATGTTTACACCATTCCATTGTAAATGCTACTGCGGCTTTTTAACTATTTCACACCCTGTGGTTTCTTCTTCCCCCACAAAAGCCCTGCTGCTCCTTGCATTCAGCCTTTTTTGATTTTTTTTTTGGGGGGGGAAGCGGTGCGGTCTGATTCCCTGTGAAGCCAGCCGATGGACTAAAAGTGTGGTTTAATCACCCGAGTCATTATTGACATTGCCACATCACTCGGTGAGCGGGATGGGCGGCCTGAAACTTTTAATTGGCCTGAGTCTGTGAACCTGTTTGTGAAACTGTGGTGAAGTGCCCTAGTTTTAAATCTTGGTCATATTTCCAGCTAAACACAGTGAGGGAAGGATAATTGCATATGAATTGTGTTTAAGATCAATCCCAGTCACTTCTGGCAGTGTGGTCCCCCAGTGTGACTGGGTAATTACCCTGTCAGTCATCCCCATTCTGACCAGGACTTATGGGGTCATTCTACGTGACTGATATATTTTCCTAACAAATGCTTTTCTCAAGCAACTTCCTCTCTGTAAAATGTTGAGCCTTGTTGCGAGGGGTGAAGAGAGCAGGGGGCAGCTCCACTGATTGGTAACCCGCTGCCCGCTGGTGCCTTTGGTCAAGGCTCTAACCTTCTGTATTCAGTGTTATCGCAACATTTGAGACTGTGATGTGCATCACGACCCCTCCCACCCTCGCCATTCACCCTCTGGTGGCTCCAACTCTGCACTGTGGACCTTTGGAGTCATGCAATTGGCTCTAATCGCTCCGGGATTAAGGATGGGTCTGGAGGCTGAGTGCAACTGTCGGGCGAGAGTCGGATTGTAGAGTTTCTGTGATGCTTACTGCAGTCAAATAGCCTGTGTATTGTTGAGTTTGCTAAGATGGAGTATCTGGAATTTTCCATTACCCTCACTGGTTTGAATGAACGGCTGTCACTCGAAGAAAATATCCTGTTCCTAAATTGTCAATTTCTTGTACCATTTGGCCACACTGAATGCCCCTCCCCTTGCCCACCTTGTAGGGGTTTACTAGATCCCATTGCCTCCACTCCCTACTTTCTCTCTCTAAGACTTTGACGGAATCTCCCCCTTCCTCCTGATAGGCTGGTACCGGGGAGAGAGGATACGTGATTGGGAGATGGGCTGGTTTCCCGAGTCCTGCGCCAAGATGATAACCAGTCGCAGTGCAGTGCAACGAAATGTCCAACGAATGGAGAGATTGCGGATTGAAACTGACGTCTAGTTCCTGCATCAGAGTCGAAGTTCCATTTGCCCTGATATGACGGAGCCTGGATTTTAACATACCTGCCAAGGATGTTATAACAAACTTGGCAACCAATGTTTCCCCTTAGTCATTGCCATCAGACTGTGTAATTGTATCACTGGGGCTGAATGACCCATCGAAATGATCAATGGATTGAATATGTTAGTCAGGGGTGGTTAACGAATACATTTTTCAAAAGGGGTTTGATTGTGATCGCAAATGATTGGTATCCCAGTCGCCAGCCTCTTTGATTACACCCTGTGTGTGCGGCAAGGCACTTTTATTTAGAAACAATTGGAAACGCTTTAGTTTTTTTAAACTCAGGACCCATGTGACCATGGACAATATGAGGGGGAGGGGGTGGGGCTAGAGTGAGAGAGGGTGATTGTAGTTAAAACCTACCGTTCCTGATTTTCCCATGAGTTCAGTCCCTCATCCAGGAGGGAAATTCCAGCCTTACGAAAGCAGATCCTGTTTCAATATCCAACATGGGAGGTTTTAAGAATTTTGTTTGCTTTGCTGTAGATTGTTGTCAATCAGTAACATGTTGCGAGGTATTGCAGAGGCCTATTTCAGCAGGCAAAGCCATTGATCGGTGCTTGTTCCATCTTGAACACCTGAAAGGTAAAAACTAAAACGAAGCTGTCCCTTACGCGCACTTTCTATGGTGAGAGGGAGGTTGTGTGTATGACTCGGAGCAACTCTGTAAAAGTTCATTACCCTCAGCTCAGTTAGCTGAGGATGATGTTGACTGATCATATGGGCTCTGTCACAAAGATTCTCAATCAAATTTCTCTCTCTTTTCTCAACCTTGCGAATAATTTGTGTACAATTGGCTGCAATTCCCTTTTCAGACTGCTTGCATTCTGTCTGTCTGTGTTACGGATAGCTGGCTTTGGAACAGGTGGTGAGACTTTTAAGCTTCCGAAGCCAGATCATGGAGACCAGACTGATGTTCGTGAACACTTCAACACTGCACACACACTGTTCCAAGGAGGATGAGCAGAGAGTGGAGCAGGTAGACCAGGCAGAACCTGTGTGTGTCAGTGATTGGATAAACACAGGACTACGCTATCAAGCTAATGGGTTGCCAATGCTAATTTGCTACATTCATGCTTCTGGCTGTCCCACCTCAACAGTCCTGGTTGTCTTTAATTTGAGTAAGCTTTATTTTGGTTTTTTGTACTAAAGTGCCAGAAATGAACATTCCCCATGCTACATCCTCAACAACCTTGAACTGCCTGCTTTACTTCACGGATTGGTGAGAGATGACTGCATTATAAAATCCATCCCTGAGAATCCTTACCCGCGCTCCCCCCCCCCGCTCCCATGATCTGACTTTGTGATGCACTGCTCACAGTCCCCTGGGTGGCGTGACCTGGTGAGTGCCGGGCCTCCTCTTGCATGTTACAAACATGGGCATTTTGTGGACTCAGTTGCTTATCTGCCAAAGATTCTGAGGTTCTGGTGGTCAGGGACAGGCAGGAAAACCACCCGCAGTTGCCCAATTCCCTGGCAACAATGTGCTTCTGAGCCAAACTGGTAGGGGACTGCCAGGCTCAGTACCCACCCGAAGCTAAAATGTTTGGGGGTTGGAGGTGGGGGTGCAGTTGTAGAGACATAGAATCAATGATCAATGATCAACTAAAACAATGATCAATGTTTTGGAAGGAGGGAAATCTGCTGGGATCTTTTCCCTTTGCCAATACTCGGTTGGCAATGAACATGTCTTCAGTGATTGAGTAACACCCTCTGCCATTGCTCGCTCATTTTCCTCATCATCAATGGAAAACACAACAGAACATGCACGTATTGGACAGCTGATTTGCTGTCTCCTGCTTTACATTGCTGCTAAAATACATCTTACTCAAGATAATGGGGCAAAGGGTTTCAAGAAAAGGAAGATTCTTTAATTTTGAGGAGGGTTTTAATTGTCACCCAATATATCTTAACAAAACTAATCAGCGAACGGCAACAACTTAGAAGTGGGCTCAGGATTGCGGGTACAAAGAAACCACTTTGATTTTGTTTTTGCTGCTGACCCCTTTGTTGAGAGTATCAACTCATCTTCACCTTCTGCCATTTTATAGTCACACTGGAACTTGCCAAATGTTTATTAATTAAATGATATATATTCCTGAGATTGGCAGTTTTTATGAATGTACAAATAAACATTTCTTACAATTTATGTTGGTGATTTTTGTGGAATTGAGTCAGTGTTGGGAATGAATGGTCTGGAGAGAGCCCTGTAAAAGAACAAGCTCTCTTCAAAGCACTTTGAAGCCAGTTTTCAGTGTGTGGTCACTGTTACATTGTTGGAGGCACAGCAACCAATTTGCGCACAGTAAGGTGTCACAAACAGAAATATGATAATGAGAATCTAATTCAGACTGGGATATCACAAAGATCACATGTCTCTCGCTGTCCTTGTAGCATGTCATGGGGTATTTTACGTCCAAGAGAGCAAACAGAATCCTTGGTTTAATGTCATATGTGAAATGGCAACCCTAAAGGTACAGCAGTCCAGTTCTGCACTGGCTTGTTAGTTGAGATTTTGTATTTATGTTGCTGCAGTGGGACTTGAATCTGATACATAAGGACTCAGAAGGGATTGCAGTCTGGACAGGAGTCCAATTAAGGGGTTTTTGGGCAGAATGATCGGTCTTAATAGCTCGTGTGGATTTTGGCCTCAACTTTACTGAAACAAAACCTGCCTAGCAGTTTGAGATATTGTCTTTCTGCTGACCTTGTACACTCTATCTCCCATTATCTTGAATTCATCCAAAACGCTCTAATCCTGTCCATCCATCATCCTTTTGCTCACTGTTCTACTTTGGCTTGTGGCTCAATAATGCCTCTATTTAGAAATTCTCGTCTTTGTTTCCAGTTCCTTCCATGGCCTGGCCCCGTCTCTGTAATCTCCAGTCCAAACGTCCTTCACCTCTCCAATTCTAGCCTCTTGCACGTATTCAATTCTAATCATTCTACCGATGGTGGCCACACCTTCTGGTGTCTGTGCCCAGCTCTGGAATTCATTCCAAACTTCTAGTTTTCTTCCACTTGGAGACACTGCGTAAACTTTGAACTCCTTGGTGGGTCACTTGGCCTAATTTTCTCTATATGTAGTCTGGTGGACCAGTTTTACATGTTCATGCCCCTGTAAAGTACCACTGTAATGTTTTAATATGTTAAACATGATACGTAAATGTAAGCTGTTGCCACATCTGCAGGTTAAATAGCACCAAGTAAATGTAGATGAATGCAGTAGCTATTGTATTAATACATCAGGGTTCAGGAGAAATTAGAGCCATGAAACAGTTAAAATTCAGCTAGACTTCCCTATTGCTGGATTAAAAACAACCCCCAGTGAGTTCAGAATTCTTTTATTATGGTGTAACCATGTGCACTGGAATATAACAGTTTTGCTAGAAAACCAAGCATATACAGTATCAATGTGAATAAAACACAAATGCCCTGACAAATTTATTCATATATTCTTAATAGCACCTTTAATTTATTATTAGAACTGATTTTTTTTGCTAAATGTGAGATGTTTAGTTTCATTCGGTGAGAATCCTGCTACTTCTCCTTGCAATGCCCATTGACTCAATTTCCCCGGATTCAGACCATTAATACTGAGCTCTGATGAACATGCCCCACCAGCAACTTGGTATTGAATTATTAAATCATGGGGCACAGTAGGCAGGAAGAGCAAAGTCAGTCTGATTTTTGTTTTAAAAAGCCTCCAACACAATCATTGTTAGATGTAAATGAGGCTGGAATTCTCTTTGACTACCGACCATGTAGAATGCAAAATTGGCATCTTATAACTGTTCTAGGACTAGGCCAACTCTTAAATTCAATTGTTTGTTCCACAGTTAATGAAAATTCAGTGATAATTTGATTAAAAGGAGGCTAAAATGTAATCTTTTCAATAAACCAGACCTTTTGGAGTTGTGTTGTAGTGTGAGAGGATTTCTGGTCAGCCCTCTGACTTCACCTTGCCTGATTTCCCTGGATTACTAGTTACATAGAGCACGCTGCCAGTGAAATTCCTTTCTCCAGTGGGAGACCAACATTGCAGCATCTTTCTAACAGCAGTTAAAGGGGCAGTACCCGCTTGAAGATGCTCAGTGGTAGTTCAGTAGCTTCTCAGGCTGAAGTTGAAGGAGAGGAATTTAAGAAGGCACCTCTCTCAATCCAATGGAAGAGTGTCAGGTGTGGCCTTTCACACTAAATAGCCCTGGGCCAACCACTGAATCTGCCAGGCAATCCCAGGAAACAGTGATTGGAGTAGATGGAAGAGGCGTGGCCCTGAGGGCAGGTGTACCTCCATTCCAGCCAGAACTCGCATGGGATGACCAAGGTAAAGGGTCCTGGTAGGAGTTGGGTGGGAGGTGGAGAGTTTGCGGTAGGCCATTTTAGGCCCGTGTTCTAGCCACAATCCACCTGGAATTGGGCAGGATTTGGAACATCTCACCCTTTAGGATCCAGATTCTTTGCTCCAAAACTTTATCCGTGTCTCTTCAAAACTTAGGGTCAAGTTTGAATTTGGGCTCAAAACTGATTCTGCCCTGAGAGTAATAGATGTTTCACAACCCTGGTCCCCCACCGAGCTCAACTTCAACTGTTCTCCTGAAGTTACCCTTTTCTCTTAAGCTGATGTTTACAACAATGGTGCACTCTCTGGAGTTCATTTACGTAAACCGTAGCAATGCAGTCTGAGATAATTAATGCAGAAGTTTGTACAGGTACCCGTGCTGACTGGGAGTCATCTTGAAATTATTAGTATTTAGATTTTAAAAATCTATTGGTTGCAGTTAAACAGAAGAAAGAGTCGATTCTTTAAAAAGTTTAAAACATGACCTAATACTGTGGTTGTCATGGTAACTAACTGGATTAATACATAATGGGTCAACTGCTTTGAAGATGCTTTAAATACTGAAATGACCATACACATTATAATATAGGCTTAAATATTGAAAGTAAAGTGATAAGAAAGCAGGTTGTCATGGAGACAACAAGCTAAGGTTGTTTCCCAGTGCTGAACCATCCCTGATTTCACACTCCGTTCTATTTTCATTGTTCTCTTTTTGTACAGGAGAAATAAATGGCAGCATATTTACTTCCACTGGCCTGCTGGGTCAGAGGCTTGGCTGTCCATTCTGTCTCTCAGAGATTGTTTTCACATTGTCCCTGCCATTCATCACCCTCTTAAAGTCTCATGAAAGGTAAATGGCGACTAATCCAAGGGATAGCCAGTTGCCTCTTTATGGAGTGTTGCAAACGTGAATGAAAACAGTATGAGCCCACAAGGCAAGGCCTTCGATATCTGCCACAGCTGTAGGAGGACCAACACTACGATGGATAACTGATCTAAAGACTTTACAGATGTCCAATACGTTTATTGTGTCTTTAATGTTGGGGTGGGAGCAGGACAGTGGTGAGCGTAGAGTGTGTAAGAACCATCTTAAGGGAGTCAGTCGAGCTTGAATGTTGCAGAGCCGAAAGGCTTAAACCAAGATGTGATAAGGTTGGTGGCAGCAGGTAAAAACCTTTAGTGGATGGAAAATGATGCCTGTGTAATGTTCAGGACCTTGGTGAAGAGGGTACAGAAAGTTACAGGAGGTTACTTTAGTTTCAGCATAGAGGAGAGCAGGTTGGCGTGTAGAGAGATTGAGATATGTTCAAAGGCACAAGAAATGTGGATTTAAGACCTCCTTATGTCTTCCTTTTAAGAGCATAAATAAAGTAGGCTGTGCAGCAGCCTCCAATTCCACCAATAACCACTTCAATAATATTGTTGCCAATCTTTGACCTCAATTCCCATAACCTTAGAGTATCCAAACATGTATCAGTCACAGCCTTAAATATTCTCTAGCCGAGTGGGCTGCTTAGTTGGTCACCATGCCAAAGATTCACAGTCTTCTAGGTGAAGAAATCGTCATCTCCGTCTTAAATAGCTGATGTCTTTTCCTGACACTATATCCAGTAATAGTGCTAAAGCTTCCAACCATGGGGAACACACTCAGAACCTACCGGATCAAGCCCCTTCAGAATCTTGTCTCAATAAGCTCATCTCACGTTCTTCGAACCTCTAGCAATTTCGAGGTTCTTTCCACTCAACCTCAACATCAGTCAGACCTCTTATCCCAGGAGTCAATCCAGTGAACCAAATTGCCCTCAATGCCAACATTTAAAAGTTTCTCACTATTTAAAAAAATATGCCGATGTTTTGTTCTTCCTACACCAGTGAACAACCTCACAGTATACTTCATTGGCCATCCTAGCCCTTTGTACTCTCGCATCTTTCTGTCCCATTTGGCTTTTTATCTTGTGGCACCTTCATCTAGTCATTCAGATTGCAGGAGCTGAGGCCAGAGTACAGATCCTTGCAATAACCTGCTAATTTGAAAATGCCCCAGTCCTCCCATCTTTCCAATTTCTTTATGTTCACCAATCCTCTTCTCATCGATATATTACCCCCAATATCCCAAGGCTTTACCTTGTGCAATAAGCTTTTATGAGGCACTTTGTCAAATGCGTTTTTTTTTGGAAATCCATGCCAGATGCCATATGGCAGGAGGTTTGATTTTTAACTACTTTGAAACGTAGCAAGTTTGTTCTTTTGAAAAGACTTTTATTCAATGCATTCTGGTGTGGTTCTGGCTAAGCAACATAATCTCCAACTAGACGAACCGGGCAATGATCAGTTGTTAAGTCCCTGTCTTTCTGAATCCAGTTAAATGAAGCCAGGATGAGCATCAGCTGAAATTAGCCAGTGATATGGAGACAACACTGACTGACTGACGCTCAAGGTGGTGTAAGCTTTGATGAACTGGATGAATCAGACTGTAATGGAAGTGTCTACCTAAGGCATGTTCTGTCAACACCATCCCATTCCAATCAGCTTACCAACATCCATGCTGAGTGTTTGTACAATGGTTAACACACATAATTTACACTGTGCTGGGGAACACACTGAGCTCCTTAATCCTTAGTATTTCATTCTGAAGTCCTGCAACATTGGCTACATTGCAGTAAATGAGAAGCATCAAAGTCAGATTACAAATGTCCATTTTTGTTTTGAAAGACACAATGGCCAACATACCATGCCAGCCATGATGTGACAGGAGGTCTGATGTTTAATATCCTTGGTCACTTACTTTGCTGCTTTGGAACCAGGATTAATATACATTGTCTCGCCAAACTCTGGGTTGCAATCTCTATTAATCTTACCTTCCTGGGATTTGGTTTATAAAAATAAAATATATGTATGTACATATATATATATATTTATATAAAAAGTCTTTAAGGCATCAAAAACGTTTAACACCCACAGAGTTTGATTTGTTTACTGTTCAGGAATTCAGACCCTCATTTTCTGACGAGGAGGAGAAAGCTTTAGGTTTGAATTTCTTGCTCATTTCTTGAATTTTGAGCCCGACAGGAGGTTGGATCCTAAAATCCATCAGCTGTCCATTCCTTAATAAAATATCACTGGGCGGAAAAATGGCATGGACTCGTGGCCATTCCTCTGATTCTTCATTTGAGATTTTACCATATAATGGTTTTGCTTTCAGCAGTGTTTCTGAAAGGTTGCTTTGACAACGCAGGTTGGGGGAGAAGGTGTAAAATGTCCAGAAGCAGTCTCATTGGCACTGGTCAGAACGATATCCAGCTCACTCAAGTGACTATGATCTTGATGACACATCTGATGCCATGTTTCCTTGCGGTTCAAGTTGCAGGTGATGTGGTGGCTTTGGAGGCCCTCCTGGAACCAGAGAGAGTACAAAGTAATGTATGACCAGTGATTCAACCTGTGTCTGTGGACTCACCCACTTGATATCTGTCCATGGTATTTTCCTAAGCAGGGTATAGTGCTGAACTAAGGCAACCAGAAAGTCACAGGCTTAATCTCCAGCCTCTACTTACTTTCTAATTAAGAACTTGCATTTACAAAGCACTTCTATTCACCTTGAGACATCCCAAAGTGTTTTATAGCCAACAAAGTCATCTTGAAGTGTTATCACTGTTGTAGGAAACCAAACTGGTGTAGCTAATTTGCACACAGGAAGCTCTAAAACAGCAAAGATGGAGATCAGTGAACAGATAATCTGTTCTCATAAGGCTGATGGTTTAAATAATTAAATAGTGTCCACAACACGGGGAATGGTACTGAATGATCTTTAACAACCAGCTGAGAAAGTGGATGGGGCCCCTAGGTTTCGTGTTTTATCTGAAAGATGGCACTTGAGACAGTGCAGCACTCCCTCAGTACAGCACTGGAAATGTTTGTGTGGATCTTGCAGCAAGTCTGCGGAATGAGACTTGAACCTACAACGTTTCGGATCCAGAGGCATGATTAAGGCTAGGAACCAGAGTTAATACCTAGTTACTTTACTGTAGTAGGAGCACATTGAACAGTCCTATTTTGAGTGAATGAGAATAGAGTTCCACACTTTGATCACCAGGAAGCCATGCTATTTGGCAGTGTGACAGCATTAGATAACTCAATGCTGCTCATTGGTTAGGCTGTTTAGTCACAAAATAGATGCATTTCCAAGTAAAGCAGAAAAAACCTTTTAATCACTCATCATTATTGGAGTGGTACTGGGAAGAAAAGTTGGTGAATCAATTATTTTTTCACCTCAAGAGAAAGGACAGTGGAGTGAATGACAGGATTGGGTGTGACATTGTGGTCAAATTCAGACACTCAAGGGATGATTGGAGCTAGGGCTGTTGTTGGGTCAAAGCACTTACTCAAAAACAAGAGCAGAAAAAATCTGAAACCCTCTTCCCACAAAAATCTATTGCAGAGTTGGGTGAAAATTTCAAAACATGGCTGATTGCTTTTTGTGAGGCGAGGGACTGAAAGGCTATGGAACCAAGATAGGTCGATGGAATTAAGGTAAGAGCTGCCACAGTCTGATTAACCCTGGCTCGAGGGATTGGATAACCCACTCCTATTCCGAGGATGAAGACAGGTTGAGATGAGTTACTGTACCAGGCAGGGAGCTGGGTTAAATTCAGCCCAGTGTAGAACGTTCCTCCTCCTCCTCCTCAGATAATATTAAGGAATCCGTCTGGTCCCAGATTAATTCTTTGTCTTAGCCGGCTGGCAAATGGTGAAGGAAAAGAATTAGATTTAGAACAAGAGGAAACACTTTTACCTTCCTCACAGGTAGGCCCAGTCCAACTGTACAGGCAGGTACAGTGTCCGTTCTGGGAGTCACAGCGACCATTATTGGAACATCTGCAGTTCAAGGAGCAACTGGGGCCATAGCGATTAGTTTGACAATCTGAGGGGAACAAGAAATGAATTACTCATTAACTGCAATCTCCGTTAGGGTTGTCAATTGTGATTAAGCGTGTTCCTGGAGGTTTCATTATGCAACTTGTCTCACGCATTCCAATCATTAGTCAGCCAACCCAAACTGCTAGTTTTCCTATTTTCAATATTTTTTATATCCAGTAAAGAAGAACATTCAAATAAAATCACAAAGAAGAAATTTCTTTCTGTGATTTTTCTTCAGGGTGCACACAGCAGTGTCCTTGAGATTGATCTTCAAATCTCAGAGGGTTGTCCAACCTTGAGTCTCTGCTTAAGACTCAACCCCTTCAACCCTTTCATACATAACACAGTGTGGAGCTGGAGGAGCACAGCAGGCCAGGTAGCGTTAGAGGAGCAGGGAAGTTGACGTTTTGGGTCGGGACCCTTCAGAAATCTGAAGAAGGGTCCCAACCCGAAATAGCAACTTTCCTGCTCAGCCAGATGCTGCCTGACCTGCTGTGTTCCTCCAGCTCCACACTGTGTTATCTCTGACTCCAGCATCGGCAGTTCTTACTAACCCTTTCATACATGTTGTCTTATGAGCAGAGGCTAAACAGTTTGGGACTTTAGTCACTGGTGTTTAGGAGAACGAGAGATGAACTCATTGAAACATTTGGAATTCTTAAGGGGCTTGACAAGGTAAATGTAGGAAGAATGGTTTTCCTCATTTGGAGAGTCTAGGACCAGAGGGCATATTCTCAAAATAAAGGGGTGCCAATTTAAGACTGAGATTAAAAGGAACGCTGTTTCTGAGAGGGTGAGAGTCTTTGGAGCTCCTTTGCACAGAGAGCTATGGGACAAAAGTCCTTGTTATATATAAGATTGAAATAGATAGATTCAAGGGTTGGGGAAAAATACAGGAAAGTGGATGTGAGGAATGTCGGATCAGACATGATCCTATTGAATGATGGAGCAGGCTCGTGGGGCCGAATGGACTACTCCTGTTCCCATTTGTAAGACCATAAGAAATGCTGTCCAGTGTAAAGTTCTCTCTTGTTAAGGATAACACAGTGCGGAGCTGGAGGAACACAGCAGGCCGGCAGCATCACAGGAACAGGAAAGCTGACGTTTCGGGTTGGGACCCTTCTTCAGAAATCTTTCTCGCTAAGGATCCTGATTGTACCACACCTGCACCCTACTTTTCACCAGTCCATAGATGTTGGTGAAGGTAGATTTGAGATGCTGCGGCTACCTCTTCTGCAAAAGTGATTACTAAAGGGAGATTCATTGGACGTTTTTGCTTTGAATTTTGAAGCATTTTAACAGAGCAAAGATTACATCATCAGGGCAGTCAGTGATGATCAACTTAAAATGGTCACGGGGATTAAAGAGTGATTAGGACAAAGTTTTTTAACAGAACACTGAGCCTTGAATGCTTTGACACAGAGTACTGCACAATACTTACCAACGTCACACCTTGTGCCAGTTTTCCCTGGCAGACAGAGGCATTTTCCTGTTATGGCTTCACAAGGCACACCTTCTTCGCAGTCACACATCTGCTGGCATTGCTCCCCGTATCGTCCTTCCTCGCATTCTACAGCACCCCGGAGGAAAAAGAAAATAAGGATTTCAGATGCCTCAGTACCTCAGCAGGAGGCTGGTTCTGGGAGCCAGCAACACAGTCCAATTACCTACAGTGCAGGCAATGTTGTTCATGAATGGTCTTAGTTCCGTTACAGTTCCATAGGCCTCATGGGCAGGAAATTATCTTTAATTATCCTTGGCACAGGCAACATCAATCCAATTAACACGATGGATGTGAATCACCAAGCCTTGCAAGGATCCAGAGTTTAAATTTGTTTCTTGTGTACCTCAGGTTGCTGAGAAAGGCTGATCATGAAGCTTTGACTCATCGACAATGAACTAATGGCATTGAGAACAGTCCTTTGCAAGGCCTCAAGTCCACGAAAAAGCTGAGTGTATAGGATAGTGTTGCCCGCATAGTTTCTCAGGCCTGTTCACCAAGCGTCACAGTTATACCTGCACGTGTTGAACAGCCAGCTCTCAGGCCAGGTAATTCGGGCCTGTTAGTTTTAATAGGAGGGCTAGGGGTGTAGATGTTAGTGCTGTCATAAACTGTACAAAATGCTTTATCAGAATTAGTACCTTTCTCACAGTAGTCTCCATAGTAACCAGCTGAGCACAGGCACTGGCCAGTTACAGGGTGACAGGCTGCTTTGTTACTGCAGTCACACAAATGTTGGCAGTTTTCTCCGTGAAATCCAAGGGGACACACTGTAAACACAAACGGACACTTACAGCAGCTTCAAAAGGTTAAAGCGAAACATTGCAAGCTAAGCAAAATGTTGCACGCGTGCCTACTAGTGTGTCCCAACCACCTCCTGTCTCTCAGAGTGCATTAGGCCACCAATCACAGACTTGCTTCTGAAAATAATAAGTGATTCGTGTGGCAATCTTCTGGCTACCAAAGGCACTGAAACAGTGACCTCAAGTAGTTCGGCCATGGATCACGGCGCAGCCCCAGGGCCTGGGTTTGAACCCATTTCCAGAGCAGAAAATCCAGGCTAATGCAACTTGTGCGGAACTGAAGGAGTACTGCAATGTTTTTGAGAAGAGACATTAAAATGGAAGTCTCTCACTTGGATGTAAAAGGACTATTATCCTGTTCTGTTTCTGCATTGGAAACTGAGTAATTCCTCACCATTAACACCATATTCCCAGCATCGGCATGGAATACAAAACTCAGTCTTCAAAAGAAGTGCTGTTAAAAATCCCCTTAGGTCACTTTCTGGATATTTTGGTTTACTCAAACAATGCCAAAAGTAATGAGTAAGTAAAAAGTAAAAAGTAAGTAATGAATTGTCATTGAACTGGTCAGTTCAGTGAACTTCAGCGAATGCAAAACGCAGCAGCAGGTGGCGATATTGTACAATGAATAGAACATTACACCCCGGTCTGACGGAGGTGAAAGTTTAGCACTGTAAGTAAGGCCACACACACCCTCAGTCAACAATGGTCAAGGTTACATTCAGGATCCAATCTAGCTCTTGTTCAACTTATCCCGGTTGCAAAACTTCTAAGTACTTGCAGTATCAGGAATCATTTCAAACTCCCTTTAACAGGCCAAATTTGCACACTGCCCATGCCACAGAATCATCTATCACTGGAGGCCATTCAACCCGCTGTGCCTGTGCTGGGTCGTGTGTTTGAATACATAGAGCAGATGCTCAGACATCAGTCCCACCACCATATCCCTTCATTTGCTAATCGCCCATCCAAAGATCACATCCATTTCAAGCAGCATTTTAAATGAAACAAGGAACTGTGGATGACAGCAATCTGAAAAATAAAACAGAAAATGCTGCAGAAGCATCTGGCAGTGTCTGTGGGGAAGGTAACAATGTTAACACTTTGGGTGCAGTGACCCAGACCAGACCTGATGAGTTTCTTCAACAATTTCAGTATTTTAAATGATTTGGTTTCTGATCCAAACTTCCTTTTGTGGCCCCTTTCCTTGAATCCTTAAGAGGGCTCACTAAATATAACTCTTCCTGCCTTTTCTCCAGTCAACTTTCACTCCAATTGCAGGTAGAACACGAAACTATAAATGCAAGTCTTTTCACAGAACATCCCTCTAGTTCCTGCTCAGCCTAACCATGTAATATCATTCACCACTCTACTCCCAAACACACTCCACACTCTGACCAACAACCATCCTCTCTAACTCTCAGCGTTTGGTGTCCCCTCACGCTCTCTCCTAACTTGCTTCCATTCTCAGGTTTTCTCCAATTGGCCTTTTCTTCCAAGAGCTTTCCCCAAACGCAAATCGAATTAGACACTCAAATGGGAGTATTCATAGTTAGGCCTGAAGGACTAAGTTAACCACTTGTACAGGTACAGTAATGTGGAGGTAGTGTTATTGAACTAGTAATCTCACCAGGGCAGTTAAAGAATTTGAATTCAGTTCTTGATTTACATTCTGGAAATAAAACGTCGGTGTCTGTGAAACTGACTGTGAAACTGTAAGATTATCGTAACCTGGTTCATTCACATCCCTTTACAGAGGGAATGCTGAAGTCTTTATTCAGTACATGTCATCGAATGCACAATGACGTGATTGGCTGCTATATGCCCTCTCCCAGAAAACTACTCCGTTGTCACAAAGCATTGGCAGTGCTTAAGGAGGAGAATGCTCACTCTGCCATTTGCTATACTGGAGAGACAGACAATAAATGCTGGTCTTGCCAGCTCAGATACCCAAGAAGGAATAATAAAAGCTAACTTTTGCCTTTAAGATCTCTACCACCCACAATGTCCCGAGTCTCTCAAAGGAGTTGGGACGTCATTCTGAGGTTGTACAGGACGTTGATGAGGCCTCTTCTAGAGTACTGTGTCCAGTTCTGGTCACCCTGTTATAGGAAGGATATTATGAAGCTGGAGTGGGTTCAAAAAAGATTTTGCCAGGAATGGAGAGTTTGAGTTATAAGGAGAGGTTGGAGAGGCTGGGACTTGAGTGTAGGCGGTTGAGAGACTATCCCACAAAGGTTTATAAAACCATGAAGGTATAGATAAGGTGAATGGCAGATGTGTTTTCCCTAGGTTTGGAGATTTAAGACTAAAGGGCACATTTTTAAGGTGAGAGGAGAAAGATTTAAATAAAGAAATGACGGGCAACTTATATACACAGAGAGTGGTTTGTTTGCGGAATGAACTTCCAGAGGAAGTGGTGGATGTGGGTACAGTAAGAAAGTTTAAAAGACATTTGGATAAGTACATAAATAGTAAACTGGAGAAATATGAGCCAAGTACAGCCAGGTAGGACTAGTATAGTTTGGAATTATGGTTGGCATGGACTGGTTGGACCAAAGGGTCTATTTCTGTGCTGTATGACTCTATCAGTCTATAAAAACTTCCTGCCAACTCACCATGTTCACAGTTGTGCCCATAATACCCTCTCACACACTGGCAGTATCCTGTTATACGGCTGCAGGTGCCATTATTTTGGCATGCACATTCCAGCTGGCAGTTTGCACCAAATTTCCCAACGGGACACTCTGGAAAAGATAAAACCAAACTGGGAATGCTGATTCTGTGAACTCTGCCTCAATCAAAATCATCAACACAAAATATCTGCAACAGTAGTCAGTACACTCCAGATCATGAAAATCTGAAATAAAAACAGAAAATGCTGGGAAGTCTCACTGAGTAACATCTGTGCAGAGAAAAACAGACAACATTTCAGGTCAATAATCTATAGTCAGAACCGGGAGAATTTAGAAATATAACAACATATAAGCAACTGCAGACAGTTAAAGACTATGTTTACAATTTTGGACTGTGGGCTTAGAAATGGGAAAAGATACTTCTTTTAAGCCGAGGGACTGGGGAAGATGATGTTACAGGCTTTAAAAGAATGAATTACCAGAACTCACTAGGTGTTGCATCCTCAATGTTGGCTTATACAAGCAGTTGGGTGGTGGTGGGGGGGAGGGGGGTTAGGATACTGGCTAGACTCTGTAGGTGGTGTCTCCAGGTCCAGTTTAGCTCAGTGACAGATTTTGATTGGTTTTTCAATAGGACCAGTTGTGAGCAGCATGGTGTACTCAGCATAGTATCAACTTCTTGACTGACTCAAGGGTGAGTGGTTAGTTTTTGGACAATACAGCAGAAATGTCCAGCCTGTGAATCAGAAAACACCTCTCTTTCTCACACCCTTCTGTCAGTGGAGAAGTAAAATCAAGTCCTGACTGACTGGCTACTCTCTCTGTCTGCAAATTCCTTTCTTGAAAGTAAAAAGGGAAGACCACCTTCAGAGACATTGAAAATGCAAATCCTCAAGTGGAGGATAAAAAGTTGAGAATCATTATGTCCATAACTCTGTCTCCTCATCAAAAAGTCAAAAGGAATCGGAAGGAAATTGAAGGGAAAAACCTCACCAATGCCCCTTGTTCAGATTGGCATCAGAAAACCAGTATCACTGACTTTTATTTTGTTCCTTCCCCAGGGTTAATATTTGTGTTTTGTCTCTTTTTTGTGTGTCTGTTTATGTGAGAATGGGATTTTATTAAAGGAGCTTTGTTTAAGTTATAGGTAGTTAAACATTAATAATTCATGCTTCTTTCCTACCATTGGTCAAAAGCACTTTGCAATAAACAGACTACCTGATGAGTGTTTTCTTTTACCTTGAGTTCATCATATAACATAGAACAGCACAGCACAGGCCCTTCGGCCCACGATGTTGTGCCGAACTTTTACCTTAAACCTAAGGTCTATCTAACCTCCACCCCTACCTTATACTATCATCCATATGCCTATCCAATAGCTGCTTAAATGCCCCTAATGAGGCCGATTCCACTACCCTCTCCAAAAATGCATTCCACACCCCTACCACTCTCTGAGTAAAGAACCTACTTCTGACGTCTCCCCTATAGCTACCTCCACTCACTTTAAAACTATGCCCCCTCGTAATAGCTACCTCCACCCTAGGAAAAAGTCTCTGGCTGTCCACTCTATCTGTACCTCTGACCATTTTGTACATCAGTCAGATAAATTGGGGACTTTAAATAAATCTTCTCACATTTGTGATAACTGCAACAATACTGGCCCTTGATTTCCAGCACACCACGCCACAAGAGTCAGTGGATGGGCTCAAAAACAATGATGACCAGAAATGTCAAAGGACAACATAACAATAAAAATAAGTGCACACTTTATCTATGTTTGTCTTTCTGCTACATTTTTCATTCTGTTTTCATTGTCATTGTCTCTGCCTCTGTTTCTATCTACATGGGAACACACAAACAGGAGTAGGCCATTCAGGCCCTTGAGCCTGTTCCACCATCCAATGAGATCATGGCTGATCTGTGGCCTAACTCTACATACCTGCTTTTGGTCTATATCCCTTCATACCTTTGCTCATCAAAAATTATTCCATCTCAGATTTTAAATTAATTGATCTAGCATCCACTGTCATTTGTGGAAGGGAGTTTCAAATATTTACTGCTGTTTGTATGTATATGTTCCCAGATGTCTTTCCTGAACAGTCCAGTCCTAATACTCTGTCACTGTCTCTCTCTGTCTTATTCTTATTTGTTTCTCTATCTTTTCTGTCTCATAATCAATTTGTGTGTCGTCCTCTGCTTTGTTTTATTATAACTTAGAAAGTTAAGATGTCAGCCATGGCAATTGGTAGCATTCTCACCCAAGTCAGAAGTTCATAAGTTCAAGCACTACTTGAGAAACCTAAGTGAGTAATTTAGGTGGATGCTCCAATAGTATAACTGAGGGAGTGCTGTAGTGTCAGAGGTGCTGTGCTCTGGCCCTCAGCCTCGAGGGATTGAATAGTCTACTCCTGTGTCTATCTTCCAATGCTCCTATTGCTCCTTCTAACAATTCTGTCACTTCTCCTTCTCAGTATTGCTTTATTGAACGTAAAAGCCACTCCTTTATTTAAAAGGAGGTCCTTACATGTACCTTTAAAGGCACATTTAAAGCCAATGAAAAACTCAGATCAAGAAGATAAAGGACCGACACAAAGAGAAATGGAACAGGGTTGACAACGTTACTCATACTTTTAAAGGCTTCATCACAAGACCTCTAACATCGCTGACCAATTAAACAAACTTTACTCCCAAGCTCCAATTTTTTTTTTTTGTTTACAGCTTTCAGAAGTATTGAAATAAAGTGAAAAAGAATAGCGTTCTGAACACCCTGTATGAGTTTACTTCCATGCTGCTTGCAAGAGATTAAGTTTCTGCAGACTCCAGGACAAGCGTGGAAGGCTACCAATCAAAGGGAGTATTTCTAGAGACAAGGTAACCCAACCTTGACAATCTGGATACTGAAAAAAATTATCTTCAATTTACATTTAATTTCTGATCAAACGTACCCAGAAATTTCAAATTCAGATTTCGCATACTAGAGACTTCAAGAATTGGCATCAAAATGACATTAAGTGCTTCCATTGAGTATTTTTAAGCTTCTTTTCAATGTAGAATGCACTCACCTTGTCCACATAGGGCCCCGGTCCAGCCCAGACCACAGGAACAGGAGCCATCAACTGGGTTGCATAACCCTCCATTCTTGCACATACAGACATACTGGCATCCCTGACCAAACCTGCCTTTAGGACACACTGAATATACAAAATAGTGGTTACATACCAAACACATTTCAATATGAACAGGTGACAAAGAGACTGAGATTAGAGCTAAGAACCCTAAGGTCTGGTGTGGACAGACAAAGTGTGGATGTCACATTATATCTGTTCCACAGAGCATGCGGGCTGGTGATCATCCACTACAATTCTCCTGTCAGGAGACGTTTGCACAAGATGTGCTATAAGACCTTTCCCTGACCATTAATTATCTTTACTTTGAATCACAAAATCAAAGAATTGCAATGGCTCAGATGGAAATTATTCAGCCCATCGTGCCTGTACCAGTTCTATTACTGAGTGCCAATCTCCTGCATTTTCCCTGTATGCCTACACACCATTTCTATCCGACTAAATATCCAATGCCCTCTGAGGAATCTGTGTATAATAGGACATTCCGCTTCCATTAAAAACACATCACCAAGGGGACCTCATAAATGAATGAAACGAGGGACAGAGATTCTCGCCCAAGTGTATGCTGATTTTGTGAGTACTCTTGCAGGTGTATGAATCCATGGGTGCAGATGTTATAACACATGCGCAAAACACTGCTTTAAAACTTGGGTTTGAAAACCCTGATGTTATCTTAAACTTCAAAAATGGCCCAATCCAGCTCTGATGCCAAACAAGTTAGTTCTTTGCCTGTTGGAACTACCTGCCTTCCTAAGACCATTTGCCAGGTATGATGGAAGCGAATAGCAAGAGCCTGTCAGACTTGGAAATGACATGTTACTCACCGTGCTGACATCGAGAACCAATCCTGCCTGCTGGACAGATACACCTTCCTGTCACATGGTCACACTCTGCACCTTCTCCGCACGAGCAAGCTGCAGAGCAATTAGTCCCGTGGTAGCCAGCAGGACAGGCTGTAGATAAAAACAGACGCAGTGTTAACACGATGTCACTGGGCTTCTCTATAAGCCAGAGCAGATAGAATCAAGCAAATTCAGAGCACAGAGAGGGACCATTCAATCATTTTGTCCTTGTTCATTTTCTGCAAGAGATAACTACATAATCCCATTCATCTGTCCCTTCTCCACATAATTTGAAATCATTACTTTTTCAAATATTTATCTCTAAGACATGATGTGGATTTTGTTTTCACCTGCAGGCACAGAGGATGAACGGTGAGGGATTTTATTTTATTGGCAATGCTTTAAAGTCTTCTGGATCTCAATTTAGTTGAGGGGTGGACACAATGCACTCTGCCCCACCCCTCTAATGTAGATCCACACCCCTCAATAACTGAGTTTTCCTGGTGTTGCTGTTCACTTACTCTGATTACAGTCAGCTCCGACATACCCAGGTGGACAGATACATGTCCCACTCACTGTCTCACACAGGCCTCCATTCAAACATCGACATAGCTGGGCACAGTTGGATCCGTACCTCCCATCTGGACATCCTTTTAGGGGATTAGAGAAGAAACAGAACATCACAAGATCATCAGGTACCTGTCCTCCTTGTCAGGAAATCATCTATCCATCTTTGACAGGCTTATCTCCATAGCCCATGGTGGTTGTACCAGCTTTTACAGATTTATTCATTAGTTCCATTCTGTCCTGCCCATCTTCACAACTCTCAATATTTCTTCCTTTTCAAATATTTACTCAATTTCCTTATAAGAGTTATTGTTGAATCTGCTCCATTGCCCTTTTGCATCTAGTGGCACCTTGCTGTCTGCCACATCCCTCCATGTCAAGAAAACTACTAGACTGGCTGTTAAGCACTTAAGGAGATCCTGAGGATGTGTAAGGCGCTATAAGAATGCAAGTTCTTTCCTTTTCATTGCTGCTCAGATTTATAGTCAGGGGGATTGAACGCAGTGTTGTGCAGGTGATACTACATAAGGAAGCACATCTATGTACTGAGCCACTCAAAGGATTCAGTCAGTCTTTCTCTACAGTTTATCTTCACTGCTGCCTAGGATGCAGGGGAATGCCTGTGGATCATACAGGTTAATCAGGTTAAGCAAAACTCACTCAGGTTGCAGTTGTCTCCATGGTAGCCAGGTGCACAGACGCATTCTCCACTCACTGGGTGGCATTGTTGGTTTTGAGCTGAACACTGGCACACCTGGTTACAGTTCTGTCCGTAAGTACCTGGGAGGCAAGCTAATGAAAGAGACAAAGGATAAAATGTATGAAAGTTTTGCTGGATAGACAAGCAAAAAGAGAGAAAATGATTGCTAGAAATCTGCAAGAAGACTGAAAATGCTTTACAGTCAATGTTATTTGACTCTGTTCGATCCTTGAATGTTATGATATTTCAAGTGCTGAGACAAGTGCAGGAAATTGGGATGAACGCGCCTTTAGTGTTAGAGAGTCATAGAGTTGTACAGCATGGAAACAGACACTTTGGCCCAACTCATCCATGCTGACCAGTATCCTAAATAAGTCTAGTCCCATTTGCCAGCATTTGGCTCATATCCCTCTAAACCCTTCCTATTCATATACCCATCCAGATGCCTTTTAAATGTTGTAATTTTACCAGCCTCCACCACTTCCTCTGGCAGCTCATTCCATACACGCACCAGCCTCTGTGTAAAAAAGTTGTCCCTGAGGTCCCTTTTAAATCTTTCCCCTCTCACCTTAAATCTGTGCCCTTTAGTTCTGGACTCCCCCAACCCCAGGGATAAGACCTTGGTTATTCACTCTATTCATGTCCCTCATGATTTTATAAACCTCTATAAGGCCACTCCTTAGCCCCCGACTTTCCAGGGAAAATAGCCCCAGCCTATTCAGCCTCTCCCTCTGGCTCAAACCCTCCAACCCTGGCAACATCCTTGTAAATCTTTTCTGAATCCTTTCAAGTTTCACAACATCCTTCCTACAGCAGGGAGACCAAAATTGTACACAGTATTCCAATAGTGGCCTAACCAATGTCCTGTACAGCCGCAACATGAACTTTCAACTCCTTTTGTCAATGCACTGACCAATAAAGGCAAGAACACCAAACACCTTCTTCACTACCATGTCTACCTGGGACTCCACTTTCAAGAAACTATGAACCTGCACTCCAAGGTCTCTTTGTTCAGCAAGTGGTAGTAATGTTGGTGTAGTCTTGATGGGCCAAAAGGCCTTTTCTGCACTCTACGACTCTATGCTGGAAGGTAAAGGTGATGAGTCAGCATCTGAGTCAGAAATCGCAGGTCAGCAATTTGGATTGAGCTTTCAATCAGAAACTAACAGCATCTACACTCTTGTCATAGCAGCAACCCAGCATTCATGCTCCAACTGCTGTTATGTCACTTTGGCCCTTATGATAATAACCCTTTCATCCCCCATGTCCTCATTGACCAAGCTTTTAGTCATTTCTCTTTATGGCTGGCTGTAAAACCTTGTCTAAGACTATGCTCCTGTGAAGTCCACTGAGATCTTTTACCATAATAAATGGAGTATACACGTTGAGTTTTTCCTGAATCAGAAGTTTGTGGGTTCGAGCCCTGCTCCAGGACCCAGTGATGTATCAGCGTACTGTAGGAGGCAAACAGTGTTTCAGCTTAGTCTCTCTGCCTACAGGAACAGATATTCTGTGTACCACAACACTACTGGAAGATGAACAGAGGGTTCCTGGGATTTTGTTTTACACTGTTTCCTTAATGAACGTCATCAAAAGTGGATTAAGTGGTTATTCGTCTCCTCGTTGCTTGTGGGATCTTGCTGTGTGTATCTGCTTCTTACGTACCAGTTACTGGTAATGAGGTAAACTGATTAGAGGCAGTTTTGAGAGACTTAATGTCAGCCTCTTGTTTACTTGTAATGGAACCAATTATATTTTGATATCGAGTCAAAGGAAGAATGGTGCTTCAACTGATACTTTTCTTCAAGACATGAATCAGTTTTAATTCAGTTTTTCCACAATTTTATTCTTGATGAATATGACCTCCTTGACGAAGACAAATGTCACTAAGTACTTACTCTGCTCACATCCATTGCCTGTAAATCCTGGAGGGCAGCCACATTCACCCGTCACATGGTTGCAGGGGGTGTTGGGGGAACAGTTACACCGCTGCACACAATCATCACCATAGTAGCCAGGCCAACAAGCTAAAGGAGAAGATGAGATGAGGATTAACATCAGCAACAACACTAACAGTAGCTTGTTAAGTTGGGTACATGGGTAATGGACAAACTCAGTTATTTGGGTGAAAGACCAAATCAGGTTGGCAAATATCTGGCAACAAACCCCATGTAATTTCATATCAGACTTCCATTATGCAAAATCCACAGTGTACACAGAGGCAGGCACAACACTGGTTTCTCAGGTTACATTAATAACAAATCACTAGCCTAATAGGCTGAGGGTTTTTGTTTTTAAATACTGGTTGCTCATATAAGGGAAATAAGACTGAGGAAACGTCTGCCCTTAACTTAAATGATTTCAGACATTTACAGTAATGGAACTAAAGAATGGAAACAACAGCTCAAACTAGCTGTGTCCTTGCAGTAGCTTGGTGGAATAACTCTTAACTCTTTTAGTTGTATTTCACCTGACTCTCAATGCTATTTCAGATAGTGCAGTTTGGTTGCAGTGCAGTTGTGCTGGCAAGAATGGATAGGCTATTGTTGGAAAGATATGAACGCAATGAGGTGAGGCTTGTTTCCTGGACCATTAATACATGGTTTGTTGTAAAGTGTGTTTGTTGTGGACCATCTCATAAAAGTTTGTATTTATCTCAAAAAAGGACACCCTTGTAACTCAAGGATGCAATCTCGTGATCTCCACTAACTTGTGACGGATACTAATAGGGACAAGATGTTAAAGGACTTGTTTCCATACAAGTTATTGTTGCAAACTATATGTTCAAGAGTTTTCAGTGAAAAATCTATAAGAACCATTGATCAGAAAGAGAATACATCAACAACATGTGAACTAATTTTAAGTCAGTTGCTTAAGTCTGGTACTGCTTTCATATTTTTCCATGGTAATCTAGTTTCTGGATATTATTCCTCCTGCGAATAAATATTACCCAGTAGCTTTAACCTATCAGCATTGATCAAGCAGGAAGTTGATTTCCAACTTTTGGAGATGACAAGAGACTGTGGAAGTCATTACGATGTACTCCAGAAAGTGTTTTACTCCAAATAGGGAGAATTGTTAATTGGAGAATCCTAATTTGCGCATAGTTATGAACAAGGCCAAAGGTTTGAGTTTTTGGGGATTCAGTATGATTTTGGAAGCTGCAATTTAAATGGGAACATCACCAGAAGTAATCCTGGTGATGGGGTTAGTGATGGTGAAAGATTAACTAACTGTTATAATAAGGCTTTCTATGGAAAGGAGGACCTAGAAAAGCATCATAAGAGGAAGATGTAGCAATGGCACATTCCTGATTCTAATCTTGAAAGAACATGAGGGGTTGGCAAAACAGAAACCCGACACGGAGGTCAAGAATCCCATCCTCCTTCTTCCAACGTTTCTCATAGCCTCTTCCAAACTTCCCACTAAAAAAACTATTAAACGGGCCATGCATTTACAACAAGATCATCAGACCAGTCAAGCCTATGTCTAGCTAACTATTCTCATGGTTGTAATTTTCCAAAATTCCCTAGATTTTCAGAAGGTTCCATCAAACTGGAAAGTATCAAAAATAACTCCATTATTCTTGAAAGGAGGGAGATGGAAAGCAGAAAACTATAGGCCAGTTATAGTCTAACATGTAATACAGAAAAAATGATAGAATTCATTTTAAAGGGATTATGACGAGGCACTTAGAGAATAATGCAATCAGGCAGTATGGTTTTGTGGAAGGGAAACTGTGTTTGGTAAATTTATTAGGGTTGAGGAAGTAACAAGCATTGAAGACAAAGAGGAACCTACAGATGTTACATATTTAGATTTCCAAATGGCATTTGATAAGGTGCAGCATCAAGATTATGATACAGGATAAGAGCTCATGTTGTAGGAGGTAACATATTAGAATGGATAGAGGATTGATTAGCTAATTCATTAGCTGGAAGCAGACAGTAGACATTAATAGGCCATTTTTTTGAATTGGCAAAGTGCTACAGAGATCAGTGCTGGGATCTCAACTATTCACAATCTATATCACCGACTTTGTTCAGGGGAGAGAACATATGATTGTTAAATTTGCTCATTGCACAAAGATAGGTAGGAATGTAAGTTGTGAAGAGGGCATAAGGTATTTACAAAGGTACATGCACAAAAAAGGGCGAGATAAATTGTCAGATAGAGCACAAAATGGGATTAAAAAGTGAGCCGATGGTTACAGTGGGTCATAGGAAAATAGAGCACCGGTCACATTTAAATCAATCATAATATCAAAAAATGGAATTGGCTCAAGAAGCTGAATGGCCTACTCCTGCCTTTAGTTTGTATGTTTGTACTATTACCTAAAATGACGAAAGAATTTTAAAATCAAAGCTGAATTATGAAATTCTGGACATGATTTTGACATTGATTACATCACTCACCTTTCTCACATCGTCTCCCTCTCCATCCCCTGGTGCACTGGCAGCTTCCTGTCACATGATCACATGATGATCCATGCTCACAGTTGCAATGTTCCTCACAGAGATCTCCGTAGGTACCTTTGGGACAAGCTGTCACACAGGGAAATAGATAGGGGCTAGTGTCACAACAATAAACAGACACCGTGATTCTCCAATTTGCGGGTGAAAGTGAGGTAGAACTCTAAGTAAGTTCCATGGTAATTTACTCACTCCCCCTACTACTGAGAAAGCTTGCCAGGTCACAAGCAAATCAGCTGAAGAGTTGACAAGCAAGCTTCTCAGTCTATTGCTAATCTCAACAATAGAGTCCCGCCTGGTCATAAGATGGCTATTCAGAGGCCACTGTTGCCAGTAACTGGGTCAGTGGTGAGTTGAGATTCTTAAATAACCATTCACTGACCCCTTGGTAAGTCAAGAAAGTCTCCAGTGGACATTTTTACCCATCCTTCCTGATGAGGTGGCGGGGAAGATGGTGAATATTTCTTCAGTCCCAGAATATAGGGAGGAGATACAGAGCATAAAATTGACGGGAGGAAATATCTACAGCCAAAACTGAGAGGTGAGCATAACCATAATTTTAACTTTTAATTCTGGTTTATCTTTTATAAATGATACTAACATAGGATTGAGTTATATTTCAATAATTAACAATTCTGACTGAATCAAACAAGTGAGGAATTGAATTATATTTTTGTTGCCGGTGATTAGTTGTAAGTATTTTCTATGAGGGGAACGACACCATATTGCCCAGATCAAATGCAAATCATGATTTTATGGTTTCTATTGTTCGGGCTAATGGAAACGTAGGCTAACTCATGTTTTGAGACAAAAAGCTTTCACTCATATATACACCTATGTTTTAAAGTTATTTACTTCTGTCATTGCCAGTCCAGCAGCTTCTAATATAAAACTGCCTGCTGACGAAAACCATGTTCACTCCATTTTTTGCTTTCTTTTTTCAACATTCCCTGTGATTGGCTGGCCAGCACAGGTCCTCCCTTGATTGACCGATTTAACATCCAACCAGCTACCAGTCCCTAAGCATGACAAAATCTCAGTGTCAAATCATCTACAGTGTTATCACAGCAATGATCAGCCCGCATTATCTTTCCAGGCCAGTTCCCGACAGCAAACATCAATCTTTTGTTGTCTCCTCTATTTTAAGGAAGAACATTCAAAGTTCTATTCTTAACTGTCACTTACAGTTCCAAACCAAAAAGGAGGAAAAATAAAAGAAAAATAATGATAGCATCAATATGGCGAACTTAATAAATTCTGTAAACTTGCAAAAATACCTAACAATGTATAAAATTCCCTGGATTTGTCCTGTACACAAAACGCAGGACAAATCCAACTTGGCCACTACACTGGTCTATATTCAATCATCAGTAAAGCGACAAAAGATGTCATTAACAGTACTATCATGCAAGACAGTACAGTTTAACAGCAATGTGTTCAGGGTTGGATACTGCCAGGGTCACTCAGCCCCTGACTTCATTACAGCCATTTTTCAAACTTGGTCAAAAAGCTGAATTCCAGAGGTGAGGTGAGAATGACTGCCTTTGACATCAAAGTTACATTTGACCAAGGATTAAGGAGCATTAAGGAGCCCTGAACTTAATGGGAATCATGGGGAAAACCCTCTGCTAGTTGAAGTCACACCTGCCACAAAAGAAAATGGTTACAGTTGTTGGAGGTCAGTCATCCCAGCTTTGGGACATCTCTGCAGGAGTTCCTCAGAATAATGTCCTTAGTCCAAACATCTTCGGTTGCTTCAGTAATGACCTTCTCTCCCTCATAAAGTCAGAAGTGGGGATGTTCACTGATGGTTGCACAATTTTTAACACCATTCATGACTCCTCAGATATTGAAGCAGTCTACATCCAAATGCAGCAAGACCTGGACACATTCCTTCAGTGTCACTGTGTTAAAATCAAGGAGCCTGTCCCTGAACAGCATTGTAGGTCTCCCTAAATCAAATGGACTTCAGTAGTTCAAAGTATACTCACTGCCAAATTCTCAAGGGCGTCTAGGGATGGGCAATAAATGCTGGCTCAACCAGCAATGTCCACACACCATGAATGAATAAAAAAGATCTAAAATTAAATCTCATCAAAGCAGTTTGAGAATTTGAACTCGATAAATGTTACTATGTTGTAAAAATCCAACTTGTTCACAAATCTCCTTTATGGAAGGAAATCTGTTGTCCTTACCTGGTCTGGTCTACATGTGATTTCAGCTTCACACACCAATGTGGTTAACACTTAACTGCTGTCCAAAGTGATCTAGCACACCATTCAGTTGTACAAAACTGTGACGAAGAAGAAGGCAGCCCACCATCACCTTCTTACTGAAAGTAGGGATGGTTAATAAATGGGAGCCTTGCCAGCAAGGCCCATGCATTAAGAATGAATGAAATGATTGCCTGGCAAAACTGTCCCAGAAAGTGCCCCCACTGGCTGAAGAACTCACAAGTTACTCACGGGTTTCACATTTGTCACCTATCCACCCTGGCTGGCAGGTACAGTTCCCACTCTGACGATCACACAGAGCCCCGTTCAGGCAGTTACACAGCAGCTGGCAGTCCTGTCCGTACTTTCCTGGAGTACATTCTGTTAAGATCAAGAGGGGCTTACCATAATTTAGCCAGCCACTGAAGGTTAAATCACAAATCAGTTGATTCTTAAAACCAGAAATTAATCATGTTATTTGTATCTGTCGAGACAAATTCAAGCTTTATGAGTGTAAAAGATCCAATACGGCAAGATTTGAAGATTGGAAAAGAGTTACTCCTGGTATTCTCACTAAACATCATGTCTATAAATGGACTATCCTATTGTCAATACATTGTAAATTGCCACGAATAATGAAACTGCTTATCTCTTGCTGATAAAGGACCCATTTTGTTGAAGCTTTTTATCTTGGAAGGGGGAAAACAATCTTATTTTGCTGTGTGAGAAAATAATGCTGATTGGTTAGCAAGTAGATTCTGTTATGGCAGAGATGTTGCTATAGAGAATGCACAAGTTAGATGACAATGTTCTTAGAGATGAACAAGAGAACGGCTATCATTTGTTTTGTTGAGTTGAAACAGGTGCAATACATGCACATGCTCTTTCTTTCTGCAAAGAACATAGTCCCGTGTATTAATATAGATAGATTCTCGTACACATAAATGCACCATACAGCAAGCCTGATTGGCAGACTCAAAATGGTTGTTAGCATAATTCTTAGTATACCCCAAATTATTTAGCAATCATTATCCAATCAGAGAATCTCATCTAATATTAGACACGGTGTTCAGGTTTTCTAAACACATGCTGGTTGGCTACGGCTAGCACCTTGCTCATTGCGGATAGCCAAAGGGACGTGCTGCTTGAAATAATCCACAAGTCCTTGGAATGTACAGCCTGCATCGTACTGGCAATGAAATTCATGAACCACATTACTCATCTGTGTGACAGACAGAACATCCTGATAAAAGCTTAGACAAAATGAGTCCTTTTCCAGCAATACTCAAGTTCTGTACTCCTAAACAATTGCTTTTAAAATTGTTTATAGTAGCTTTATAAAACTAACTACATATCAGAAGTATTACATTGGCTGTGAATCATTTTGGGTCTTCTTAATACGTAACAGTATTTTTTTTTTTGTCTTTTTAAACATACCACAGAACCATCTATAACCTTACTTGGAAAGATAAGCAAAGAAACAGCAGTATTTGTTCGTTTTCAGTACTTACCCAGTTCACATGCCACTCCCGTCCAACCTAATGGGCACGTACAGTGACCAGTCACATGATCACATGTTCCACCATTGCGACAGATACACCTTTGCAAGCAATTGGCACCATAGAAACCGGCCGAACATGCTGGGAAATTTTTAAAAAATGGTCTTTAGATACAGGTGTTAAAATTAGCTCAAGGATGCTGTGCATCAGACTAAACACTAGTCAGTCCAAAAACACATTGGGGTCTAGATAGTATTCAGCACCTTCAAAGACAGGGAATAGATTTCCTGCAAAAGATACATCACAATTGATGTATACATAAACTATGAAGTTCTCCCAACACACACAGACAAAAATTGAGGTCTTTGAACATTGCAATGCATCCAGTTGGCTACACAAGACTAATGGAGTTTGAGTGAAGGCCTTCCAACTCTGGTAGATGCTTCCCTGGAGATTTGTCACACTTACACTAACAGTGTGAGTGAGGAGGCAGGGAGAATGAGGTTGGGAGAGAGGGGGAGGGGAGGGTGAGAAACGGTACAGCGAGAAAAGACGAGGTTGGTGAAGAGAGGTGGGGAGGGGTAGATCTGCAGGGACAAGGCAGGTCTCTGAGAAGCTGTGGAACTTTACTGCGTGCCTACGTTCATTGTGACCTGTTTTAAAAGAAGGTGCTGCATAGTTGAAGTGTAGGGCAGGTTGTACCTCTCTGACATGTGGCTCCCATCCAGCCAGGAAGACAGCTGCACCGACCGGTCACATGATCACAGCTGGCATTATTTTGGCAATGACAAGATTGGCTGCAGTTCTCCCCGAATGAATGTTTTGGGCACGCTGCAGAAACAAAAAAACAACACAAACGGCAAAGGATGAAAATGTACCCCGAGCACACAAAACTTTAGCTCAGCTTAATAACAACTAGCATTTACATAGCGTTGTTAACATTGTAAGTATATACCCAAAAAATTTCCCAGGATTGAATAATTTCGCTGAGTCACAAACATTTAAGTTTTTTTTAAGAAGGTTCAATAAAGTACTTCACCTTCTTCAAGGGCAACTCGAGTCATACAATAAATTCTGGCCCAGCCAGTCGAACCCTTGTTCCATGACAGCATTTTAAAAAAATGAAATATTATGGCCGCTGAACAAAGGTTTGGTCAAAGGGGTAGGTTTTAAGGGTTTTAAGGACGTGCATAGATTACAGGAAGAAATTCCAGTTCCTAAGGTCTTCACAATTCAAAGAATGGTCACTAAAGTTTGAATGATTTAAATTGGGTTTAAGCCCCATAGATACCCCATGGGTATGGCAGTATAATGGTTATGTTAGTGGCCTATTAAAAGGTAAAGTCATCATACTTCTACTGGACCACAGGGCTGCTCTTTCATTGGAGAGAGATGATTGGTGTTGGTTTAACCAGAGGGTCACCATGCTTCAGGTGAAGGAAGTGCTTGAGAAGGAGAATCTTTTGTGGTAACCTCATTCATCAAACCTGCACTGTTGGCCTCACTCTGCATTGTAAACCAGCTGACCAGCCAACTGCACTAACAAACCCCTGTTTGCTGGGCTATTAGTCATTCAGGGAATGAGAAAATGAATGCCATTATGGCAGTTTAAGAATCTGACTCAAAAGTATGAAAGTAAAATGGTGCTGTCAGTAAAAGTGACTTTTCAGATTGTTGTAAAACTCAAGTGCTAAATCTGAGAAGAAAACTTGTTATTCCTACCTCTGATTTGGTTCTATACATGACTGAAATCCCATCCTTTCTGATTATTAATTGCCCTCTGAAGTGCCCTAGTACTGCTTCACCTTTTTAGGGCAACTGAGGTGTCTTTAGATATGCATTTGGAGAAAGTATGAGCATAGGGTGAAATCAGAATTCAACTTGTCAGTGATGTCTTTGCATTGAAATAGCCTGTTAACAATTCCCAGTTTGGGATCACTTCTGTAGAACAATAGAGGGATGTCAATGAAAATCATTTTGAGAGGAGAAAACTGGAAGACATTAACTTAGGACAAGTCAGATAACCCAGTATCTGATTAGTTCCTGACTGCCAAACAAAATAACACTGTTAAGAGTCAAAACAGACTTTAATATTGTTAGCAAATGGAGGACATGGTTGGAGCGACCAATATAATAAACAAAAACTGTGAGGGGAAAGCAATATGTATAACAAATTTGTTTTTAAATGTGTAAATTTGCTCTGGTGTCTACACTGTCAGTAGAGGATATCAAGTCTTTGGCAATGGAATCAAGAGAGAGATTTCAGAAACCTAGTGGACAGAGCTATTGAGATTGTGGCAATTAGGGGGAGCTGATGGCATTGCGGTGGTATCACTAGACCAGTAATCGGATAATATTCTGGGGACCCAGCTTCAAACCCCACCACAGAAGATGGTGAAATTTGAATTCATTAAAAATTTGGACTTAAAAGTTTAATGATGACCACAAATCCATTGTCAATTGACGTAAAAATCCAACTGGGTGGGTTCTAGAGGCTGTATCACAGTTAGAAGGGAGTTGAATCTCATGGCATTAGGCCAAACATGGGAAAATAAATTTCCTGCTGACTGCTGTATGTCATCCCTACTTGGCTGATGAATCAGTAATCCTCCATCTTAAACAACTTGGAGGAAGCACTGAGGTTGGCTAAGGTGCAAAATGTATTCCAGGGGAGAGCGGAGCCACTACAGATCAAGCTGATTGGGTCTGAAAGGACATAGCTGCTAGACTAGCTCTGTGGATGGTAATAAGGGAACCATCACAAGAAAAAAATATACTTGACTTCATCCTTACCACTCTGCCTGCTGTAGATGTACCTGTCCATGGCAGTATTAGTAAAACTGACACCACACAGTCCTTGTGGAGACAAAGTCCTGTCTTTTCGTTGAGAATACCCGACACATTATTTTGTGGGACTTTCAAAGTGCTGAATAGAACCGACTTCGAAAAGACCTACCAACTCAAGACTGGACATCCATGAGGCATTGTGGGTCATCGACAGCAATAGAATTGTACTCCAACACAATCTGTAACCTCGTGGCCTGGCATTTCCCCCAATCTACCATCACCAGCAAGCCAGGGGATCAACCCTAGTTCAATGGAGAGTGCAGGACAGCAGAGCAGAAGCGGAACCAGACATACCTAAAAATGAGGTGTCAACCTGCTAAAAGCTACAAAGTAGGATTACCTGTGTGCCAAACGGCATAAGCAGCAAGTGATAGATGGAGCTAAGCAAATCCACAACCAATGAATTAGATCTAAGCTCTGCAGTCCTGTCACATCCAGTTGGCAACAGTAGACAATTAAACAATTCATTGGAAGAAGTGGCTCCATAAATATCCTCATCCTCAATGATGGAAAAACCCAACACATCATTGCAGAAGATAAAGGTGAAGCATTCACAACAATCTACAGCCAGATGTGCCAAGTAGATGATCCAGAGCTCCCAGCCTTACAGATACCAGTCTTCAGTCAATTAGATACATTACTTGTGATATCAAGAAATAGCTGGGGGCACTGGATACTGCAAAGACTGTGGCCCTGACAACTGTCCAGCAATAGTATTGAAGACTTATGCTCCAAAGTTACCTGCACTCCTAGACAAGTTATTTTAGTACAGCTTCAACACTGGCACATATTGACGACCAGAAAATCGCTCAGGAATGTCCTGTACCCAGAAAACAGAAGAAGACAATCAGGCCAATAACCGCTCCATTAGTCTGTTCTTGATCATCAGTAAAGAGATGGAAGGTGAAGGGTTAATGAACAGCACTGGCTTAGAATAACCTGCTTACTGAGGCCCAGTTTGGGTTCCGCTCACCTCTTGACCTCATTACAGTCTTGGTTCAAACATGGAAAAAAGAGCTGAATTTCCAGAGGTGAGGTGAAAATGACCACATTTGACCAAATGTGGCATCAAGGAGCTCTAGCAATAATTAAGTTAATGGGAATCAGAGTCAAATTCTCCATTGGTTGAAGTCATACCTGGCACAATGGAAGTCAGTTGTGATTGTTGGAGATCTGTCATCTCAGCTCCAGGACATCGCTGTTTGATTGTCACCATATACACAGACATTCACTCCCTCCACCATCAACACACATAAACAGCAGCATGGTAATATCTACAACTTAGACTACAAAAATTTACCAAGGGTCCTTAGAAGCACCTTCCAAACTTAAGACCTCCGCCATCTTGAGGAACACGAGCAGCAGATACACAGGAATGCCACCATCTGTAAACTTCCTTCCAAGCTGCCTGCTGCCATGACTTGGAAATACATCACCGTTCCTTCACTGTCACTGGTCAAGATCCTGAGACTCTCCCCCTAACAGCAATGTAGGTCAACTTACAGCACATGGACTGCAGCTGTTCAAGAAGGCAGCTCACCACCATCTTCTAAAGTGAAACTAGGGATTGGCAATAAATACTGGCCCCAGCCAGCAATGCCCACATCCCATGAATAAATTTTAAAAAGTCAGCAGGGCACAGATAAATGGGAAATGCTCATATATCATTTTCTAATTGTAGACGATGATGGACGAGTGCATGGAAAGATCATGGTAACACAAAGAAAAGCTCAGGACATCGAGTGTGCTGCCTTAAAAAGATTCTGAATAATATAAAAATGCAAAAAAACTCAGTTTTGTAAACTCACACTGATTGCAGTTCAGTCCAATCCAGCCAGGAAGACATGAGCAGGTCCCCATTACATGATTACAGTGTGCACCATTGAGGCAATCACACATCTGACGACATTCTAAGCCATAAAACCCATCAGGACAAGCTGGGGAACAAGCATTGACAGATCAGCACATTCACTCAGTCCATTTATGTTGTAACATTGTCCACAGTAACATATGAAACATTTTCATCTGGTTCATTGGGTTGAGACACAGCGGGTTATAATTCTAATATTTCATTCACAAAAACATGATGAGGGATGCAATAGTGTGGAGCTGGAGGAGCACAGTGGACCAGGCAGCATCAGCGGAGCAGGAAAGTTGACGTTTTGGGTCTGAAGGCAGATTTCTGAAGAAGGATCCCAACCCGAAACATCGACTTTCCTGCTCCTCTGATGCTGCCTGGCCCGCTCTGCTCCTCCAGCTCCACACTGTGTTATCTCTGACTCCAGCATCGGCAGTTCTTATTATCTCTGAGGGATGCAATAGTTCTTTGTTTTCCATTTAATTGCTTTATCCTAATTTTTTACTTATAATTACCACACTAGAAAAACTATCACAATTGCTACGTACCTCGTTCACAGAACATTCCAAGCCAACCTGCTGTACAGTTACAGGCTCCACTCACATGATCACAAGCGGCTTCATTCTCACACTGACACTTGTATCGGCAGCCTGGTCCATAACTTCCTTTAGGGCACTCTGAGCAAAGACAGGAAAATAAGGTCAGAGGTGCTCTAAGTGGGTTAGGGATAATGCTCCCTTTAAAAATTTGCTGTGCATTTACTGTTTTTTTTCTCATTGGACATCACTGCAAACATGTCAATTCTCATAGAACAAGGCCTGTGAGGTACCTTTTCAAGGCTGCTTCATGGCCATGTATCTGCACAGCTTAGTGGAAACATTGATTAGAATGGGACCTGAGGCATTGGATCATGCTAGGGTTTGGGGCAATGTAACTAGGTTAACACTATAGGACAGAGGCTGTGTAGTTCGGTTAGGCCTGAGTTTGCGGTGGTATAATTGGGGTTACTCTGCGACACAGGCACCAGCTTAGATATTCCAATGTAGCAGAATTGGCACACATTTGACATTGTGGGGAACTCAAACTGAACTTCTGTTTTCAGGGTCATTATAATTTTGGGGGATTTGCAAACTTCATCATACAAACTCCCTGTACAGCAAATGGAGGTTGGCTGCAGAAGGAATTGAGAGTCTCATACACTGTTATGTTACTATAGCTGAAGGTGTTTTTAAGAATAAAAAACATTTAAGCCTACTCAGTAGATTGTTCAGTGGACATTTTGTTTGATGTTGCTGTTGGTCACATTAAATGTTGGGTGATGTTAGGTGATGCATTTTTGCTGTTTGAAAATAACTTTAATGTACCTGCCCATGATTTTGGAAACTTGGTGTAAGATCCCAGCCGTGTAGCAAAAATGACGCAGGACTGGGCACTGTAATCTCGTTCTTCTTGGCCAGTTGTGCTGTACATTTGCCAGGGCACTGTAACCTCTTTCTTCTTGGGCCAGTTGCGTAGTCTCTCTGTCAGAAGAATGTGGGCTCAAGCTCCATTCCAGAGCCTTGAACACATAGTCCAAGCTGACCCTACATTCCAGGGTGAGCACTTTGTAGTGGAAAGTGCTGTCTTACAGATGAAATGTGAAACCTCAGCTCATTTCACTAATCAAAGGAATTAACATAGTGCTATGAAGCAAGGACAGAATTCTCCCAATCTCCTGGCAAACATTCACCCCTCATTAAATAGCAACAAAATATTTGGTTATCCACCTCATCTGATTTTGGTGAAAGCTTGACATGTGTAAACTGCCTGTCAAATTTCCCTTCGAACTAAAAATTTACTTTACTGACTGTCTTGAGGGCATTGTAGGAGCCATAAAAAAGGAAGTTGTTTTATTTAATTTTGCCAGTTTCCTGTAGAATGGGCCTCAGTTTTCATGAGGTATGTTCACGTCCTGCACTAGGACCTCATATAATAAAAACAGGAAATGCTGGAAACACTCAGTAGATCTGGCAGCACCTGTGACAAGAGGGGCAAAGTTAACGGGTGGAATCGTCTGTCCTCTCTAGTGGTGTGCTGGGAGATTGGAGGGGCATTTACTGAGACAGGAAAGGCATTTAATGAGTGGAATGGTAGCATTACTTAAAACCTGCCTCCTTCCTGTCTCTGCCAGAATTAAGTTAGGACAGGAAGGTTCAACATCCTGCACCACCATCAACTAGAGATCCTCGTTCATGACCACTTAAGGATCTATTCCCACCACCATTGATATTAACCCAGCAGTAGGTAGACCTGTCATCATGTGACATGCATAATGGGTAAAACTGTGCAGCCAACTTACCGCTCTCCATCCAGCAGATTGGCAAGAATTTTTTTTCTTTATTCATTAACGGGATGAGGCCATTGCTGACCTGGCAGCATTTATTGCCCATCTCTAATTGCCCAGAGGGCAGTTAAGAGTCAACCACATTGCAGTGGGTCTGGAGTCACATGTAGGCCAGACCAGGTAAGGATGGCAGTTTCCATCCCTAAAGGACATTAGTGAACCAGATGGGTTTTTCCGACAATCAACACTGGATTAATGGTCATCATTAGATTCTTAATTCCAGATATTTATTGAATTCAAATTCCACCATCTGCCAAGGCAGGATTTGAACCCAGGTCCCCAGAACGTGTATGGCTCAACAAGATTCCACTCGAAGTTTCAAGTCAGCAACCTTTCATCAGAAATTAGTTAGCTCTGTTTTTCTCTCAAATGCAAGATGTGCTGAGTGTTTCCAACATTTTCTGTTTCAATTTCAGACTGCCAGTATCCGCGATATTTTGTTGTTTGCACCAGTATCCCGCATGGTGCTTGCAAATGAAAGCTGCTAAACCTAGACCAAACCTTTACTGAATTCATGTCATTCATCAATCTAATTGCTAGTTGCACAGGAGTCCACAGCAGCATCTCAATTTCCTATTTTACCCCCAAGTCCATCACTTATAACTAAAAATAAAAATAATTATGCTTATAGGCAATGTTATTTCACTTCAAGACTAACCTAGGGTCTCCGCTGCACACACAAGGTCCCTATATACCAATATTAATTATTATTTATAGCATTCATCATTGGAATCCAGTTTTGCAGATGTCTGAGGATATTTATCAGCACTCTTAAAGCTGCAGAGAAAGTTCAATATTTAAAGTGTTACCGTTGCAAGGATATTCATTAGTCTTCCTCTCTCAACACTTGCTTGTGTTGAATTTGGCTTTAAATGATGCGCCTTTAAGTGCCACAGAGCTGGGCCAAACAATTTCACGGGGACCAATTGCACATTAAATCACTGCCAGATGTGAAAAATTTTATAACTGAAATATGACTGATAAGAAAAACAGCCCAACGTAACAAACAGACTGAGATTAACATGACCGCACAGATACAACAGGGATTTTACGTACAGCACAGATAGCAGTGCTGACCAGGCCAGACTTAATTTGTCTAGAAAAGAGAAAATTGGGAAGGAAGGGGTCATAAATACAAAATGGCTAATAAGGAATTCAGAGGAAACTCAGATAATGATGAGAATATGAAATTACAACCATAGGGAGAGGTTCAGGTGAATAAGAGGTATTTACAGGGAAGCTGGGTTAGAATATAAGGAAGAAAGTAATAGCAGGATCTATCAATGCAGTGCTATGATATAAGGTGGAGAATCGTTTACATAGAGGACAAACTGGCAGCATGGTGGCTCAGTGGTTATCACTGCTACCTCATAGCTCCAGGGACCTGGGTTCGATTCCAGCCTTTGGTGACTGTCTGTGTGGAGTTTGCACATTCATGTCTGTGTGGGTTTCTGCCCAGTGCTCTGGTCTCCTCCCACAGTCCAAAGATGGGCAGGTGAGGTGGATTGGCCATGCTAACTTGTTTATGGTGTGCAGTCTAGGTGGATTAGCCACGGTAAATGTGGGGTTAGAGGGAGGTGGGTCTGAATGGAATACTTTTTGGAGGATTGGTGCAGACTCAATGGGCCGAATGGTGTCAATCTGCACTTAGGGATTATATGTTTCAAACACTCGAGCCAGTGGCCTGTTTCTGAGCTGTAATATATAATTCTGTGATTAAAATTTCTGGCACACCTTTGTATGTATTCATTTGGTTCATGTAGAATAATGTGACAGTAACATTTAGTATTAAATTTAGCACCTAATCACATCATCGAAAGTCGCTCAAACAGTGAGTGACTTCTGGGGTTCAGTGACTATTGTTATGTTAAAATACTTAAATTGTAAATGTAGTAAGAAAGGAAGGATTTGCATCCATATAGTACCCTTTATGACCTAAGGTTGTCCTAAGGACTTTACAACCAATAGGGGATATCCAACTTACACACAGCAAGGTCTGAGAAAGAGTAATGCAATGGGATAAATAATTATTTTAGTTGAAGCTGTTTTAATGATGTTGAGCTGAGGGATAAATTGTTCCTGTAAAGTTTCTGCACATTGCATGTCGGTGCATTATTAAGGGGTCACTTTGCAAATAAACAATCCTGGTGCAGAGCTTCACCCATTTGGTGGATTATCTGAACTAAAGTCCATCTGTTTAAAACAAAAACCATGGGGAGTCACCCAACTTCTGGATGTTTTCTTTAGCAATGCAACACTCATCCCTGGGACAGCAACAGTGTTAAGTGATCATCAGCCTCGTATTTCTAAGAGGTACTTACTCTGATCACAGCGCTGAGCAGTAAAACCTGCCTCACAGATGCACTGTCCTGTGACACTGTTGCAGCTCCCATCACTGTTCCTGCAGTCACAGGTATTCACACAGTCTGGGCCCCACCGTCCAGCATCGCAGGCTTAAGAGAAACAAAACAGGGATTAAAGGCCTGGCCAACATGCTGAGGAGACTCTTGGCAGGACCTAACAGGTACTTACTAAACATGCAAGACCCCAACATCAGCATCTTGGTGATCACCATTTATCAGGTCTATAACCCGACCAACCACAACAACACAGTGGCACAATACAGTGCAGAGGCCGAATATTCCATGATACTCTGATTCTTAGAGTCAAGTGTTTAATGAAATGCTAACCATTCATCTGGCAACAGTGGCTATAATAATGCTCACGAAGTTCAACACTATGCAACAAAAAGCAGATTGCATGATCAATCACTCTGCTTCTGGAATCAATACCCACCCCTTTGTTGCATTTTGTACAATCTACACAAACTCACCATGCCTACTACTATATTACCCCGAAATCCCAAATCCAAGAGAATAACAGCTGAAATCAGGTAAACACCACCAACTTTGAGTTCTTCTCATCACCATTCAATGGGCATAAATTGCCTTTCCTTCACAACACTGAGTCAAAATTCTTGAATGTCCTATTTCAAAACATCGACTGCGTACCACCACCACAGAGATTGAAGTAGCTGAAGGAGAAGGGCATGTAGGTAGGCCAGCAAATATGAGCATTTTCCCTCTTCATTAGGGACAGTAACCTTTCAACTTAGTTCCAAGTAATGGTGAACTATACACAAATGTGATGTTTAGCTGCATCTTGGTGGTTCTCATACATGTTTCGCCTGTTCAATTAACCAGGTTAACTTGGAGCCAGCCCCTAAATACTTTTGTAAGGTTCAAGTAATCACACCCTTCAACCATCACAGAAACAGAGGAAGTCTTTCCTTCGGTGGGGGCATCAAGGACAAAGGAAACAATCTTAAACTTAGACCTATGCCAAATGGCTCAAAATCAGTAAAAGTGTTTTCACATAAAGGGTAATGGAAACCTGGAATTCTCACCTCAAAAGATCGTGGATGCTAGGGCAATTGAAGTTTTCAAGACTGATACAGATTTATTTTAATTACGTTAGGACACTGTAGGATATGGATTTGAGCTACATATCAGCCATGATCTGACTGAATGGCATGGCAGCTCCAGAGACTGACTGGCCTGTTGCTGTTTCTAACACAGGTATTCCCCACTAACTTCAAACAGCTGTATATTACATGATGTTCTGGTTGATTCTGTGAATAGACCATCCTTTCTGGTTAAAAAAAGTTACATGTAATCTAGAATGTACATTACAATACACCATGGCACAATCTCCTTAGGCATTTCAAAGGATTATAATCAGGCAAAAATTGACTGTGAACCAAATGGCCAGAAAAGGTGGCCTTTAGGAAGCCAATTACAGATAGTGGGAGGATTGGAGAGATTTGGTGGAGCATATAGAGTGAACAAAGAACAAAGAACAAAGAACAAAGAAAGTTACAGCACAGGAACAGGCCCTTCACCCTCCAAGCCTGCGCCGATCCAGATCCTTTATCTAAACCTGTCACCTATTTTCCAAGGATCTGTATCCCTCTGCTCCCTGCCCATTCACATATCTGTCTAGATACATCTTAAATGACACTATCGTGCCCGCCTCTACCACTTCCGCTGGCAACGTGTTCCAGGCACCCACCACCCTCTGCGTAAAGAACTTTCCACGCATATCTCCCTTAAACTTTTCACCTCTCACCTTGAAATCGTGACTCCTAGTGATTGAGTCCCCCACTCTGGGAAAAAGCTTCTTGCTATCCACCCTGTCTATACCTCTCATGATTTTGCAGACCTCAATCAGGTTCCCCTCTCAACCTCCGTCTTTCTAATGTAAATAATCCTAATCTACTCAACCTCTCTTCATATCTAGCGCCCTCCATACCAGGCAACATCCTGGTGAACCTCCTCTGCACCCTCTCCAAAGCATCCACATCCTTTTGGTAATGTGGCGACCAGAACTGTACGCAGTATTCCAAATGTGGTCGAACCAAAGTCCTATACAGGTGGTTCTTACCTCTTCTGCAGTTATGGCCAGTCCATCCTGGAGAACATGTGCAACGCCCTGTCACTGGATGGCAAAGACCCTCGTTCTCACATGTACATCGCATCTGACAGCCCAGGCCATATCGGCCGGTAGGGCATGCTGAAAGAGAAAGATACATTCACATCTAGTACTAGTTCAGGATTCCTAAAAAGGTCACAAAGAAAATGTTACATTCGTCCTAAAGATGCTTAACGTTATTTCAAACTCAGTTGACATCCTGCACCTGCATTGACATTTTCCACGTTTATTTTTCTACACTTTAGTTGGCACTGCATTCTGATTTACCTGAATGAAAAAATCTGGTAATTTTTGGAAAGGAAGACAGAGAAAAACGTTGAAGGAAAAACCAAATAGCAGTGGATAACAAAACAGTGGAGAATGGCACCTGTTGGAGTTAGTCAGGCAGTAACAGTTGGTGAAGGAGACATGGTCAGATCTCTAGGAACTGGGGATCGGACCACTTTGTCAGTCACTGGAAAGAACCATCAATAGATCTAGAGGCTGTGGTAAGAAGATCGTTTGAGGGGCATGGGTGGCAGTGAAGTGAAATCCCACTCCCCCTCCCTTTTTTCTGCATATACACTGACGTTTTCCCAGCCACCATCAGTTCTGAGGAAGGGTCACCGGACCCGAAACATTAACTCTGATTTTTCCTTCAAAGATGCTGCCAGACCTGCTGAGCTTTTCCAGCAACTTCTGTTCTTGTTCCTGATTTACAGCATCCACAGTTCTTTCGGTTTTTATTTAAGTGAAATTGGGTAGCAGGTAAATCTGAGGGATCACAAGTGCCACAGCATAAAGGACACTTTCATTTTTGAACTGTGGACTAAAAATAGAAAAAGTTACTGCTTTAAACTAAGGAAACTGTGGGAAAAATGTCATTTGTAGTTTTCAAGAACACATTGTGAGTTGTAGCCACTATTCGAGCAGTGTGGGAGAAAATAGACACACCATCGTCATGTGTGTCTGTGTGTGCGACCTCAGGGCAATTCAGCTGAGAAATGCTTATTTGATTGGTTTTTAAATTGACCAGTTACGTAGTTTCAGGAGACATGAGCATACTAACAACTTCCTGAGCAACAGGCCACAACCTTCCCTGTAGGCAAAACAGTAGGAAACATTTAGTATGCAAAGAGAAAACATCCATCTCTCACTCTTTCTCTTCTATGTGTGGACAGGTAAAAAAACATTTAGGCAGCTAGTTATCCTCTCTCTCTTCACCTTTAACTTTCAACAGGAGATTTGAAGGAACAACCTCAGAGATACTGAAAAGGTGAAGCCTCAACCAGTGAATGAAAGACTGAGAATTGGTGTACCCACAACCTTGTGTCATTAGTAAAGAATCAGAAGGAATCAAGAGAAAACTGAAGAAAAATAACTTATCGATGTCTGTCATTTAGACTAGTACCAGAATTGTTCTTCTTTGTCTTCTTTTCTCTCCCCCAACCAAAACATTTGTGTTTTGCCTCTTTGTAGGAGATAGAGTTTAAGCTATGGAGTTATAAATTCATGTTTTTTTTCTTGCTTTTGGTTAAAAAGTTTGGTTATAATAAAAAGGTTTTTTTTGTTGCTGAAAAACATAGTGTGTATATTCTTTTAACCTGAATTAGATGGTTTGATAAAATTGGTGGTTAAATCACATTTTTACATTTGTGACAATTCTGGGAATAGTATTGTTTGATTTTCAGTGCAACATCACAGTGAAGTGTGACAACAGGAAATGTGGCTGCCAAGTTTTTACAGGTACATTCCTCATATTCTAATGCAATTATCACAGAACATCATAAAATATATCACAAATGCCAAACAGCAAAATGAATACAGACAACATTGGCAATATGAGCGAGAAATACAAAATTTGCAGAAAGATAGTTTACCACATCACTAGTAGCAAGTCATCTAGCTCTAAGTTGCTTCTCTTCTTGTGACTGCCGAAAATCTTGCTGACATACGAACATCCAACCCCCAGTTCCTGAAGGTCGTGCTGAGAGATACAGTTCCATGGTTACCCCACCTAAGTGTTCAATCTTCCCATGCGAGCTAATGTGCTCAGTCCATTGGGTAGGCAACTGGGACAGGGCAGTGGAGCAAAGAAACTCCAGAAAATTTCCAGCAATTAATTCCTAGAGATCCTAAGATTTTAGAGTTGAGTATTGGATTTACCCAATAAAGGGGGAACAACACTAAGATCTGAGCTTTTCCAAGCATTCAGGAATAGGCATTCAAGCAGGACAAATATGGGTCATAGATTCAGATAAAAGAAATTCAAAACTCCCTCAAAACGTTGCCGAGACTGGAAGTCAATTATAGAGTCATAGAGTTGTACCGCACATAAACAGACCCTTTGGTCCAACTGAATCATGCCAAACAAATATTCTACATTAATCTTGCTCCTTTTGCGTATTTGGCCCATATCCCTCTGAACCATTTCCTATTCATATACCCATCCAGATGCCTCTTAAATATTGTAATTATACCAGCCTCCACCAACTCCTTCAGCAGCTCATTCCATACACTCATCACCCTCTGTGTGAAAAAGTTGCCCATTAGGTCCCTTTTAAATCCTTCCCCTCTAACCTTAAACTTATGCCCTCTAGTTTTGGACTCTTCTAACCTGAGGAAACAACCTTGACTATTCACCCTATCCATGCCCCTCATGACTTTATTAACTTGTATAAGGTCATCCCTCATCCTCTGATGCTCCAGGGAAAATAGCCCCAGCCTATTCAGTCTCTCACTATAGTTCAAACCCTCCAACCCTGGCAACATCCTTGTAAATCCTTTCTGAACGTTTTCAAGTTTCACAACATCCTTCCTATAGTATTGACGGTTTCAAACTGAAATTGATACACATTGTTAGCTAAAGGGTTAGGGTTAGGGTTGGGGTTAGTGTTAGGGTGACAGAGCCAAAGTGATGGAGTTAAGATAGAGAGTAGCCATATTCTAACTGAATGATGGAAGGTGCTCAAGGGACTGAAGTATCTCTCCCTGTTCCTACGCCAACTAAGAGATATAAACAAAAGTAAGAACTAACTTCCACCATATTGGAGTCTGGACTATTGAGGGAAATGGACTCTATTTGTACAGGATTTTTAGGAGAGCATGTAACCCAGAGTTTGTAATAAAGAGAGACATGTCTGAACTCCCCTAAACCAAGCTACACCAGGTAGAATACTTACAGTTCTGACACAGTTTCCCCATGAATCCTGGTGGGCAGGTACACTGCCCAGTCTTCTTATTGCAGGTCCCATTGTTTTCACAGATGGGGCAAATCCCCTTGCAGGCCAGGCCCCAGTGACCCTCTTGGCACTCTGTGTGGAGAAATCGGAGGAATAGAAATTGTTACAACATAATGGGGGGAAACAATTGATCAAAGTTAATGTCGCTTAGCTCCCAATACATGCAAAAAAGGAACACGCCTATACAATTAAAAAAAAGTTTCTGTTTTTGAAATATGAATTTCTAAGCCCTACACTGCTGGTAACCTCTGGTAAGCTGGACAGTACGCATACAAGTCTTGGGGGCATGTCTACCCTAACCACCTAATGGATGGTTAGCATGGATTTTGAGCTTGGGTCTTGGTGCAGGGCTCACCCAGCCTACCCAAATGCCAAAGTAAAAACTATCACCAAAGACACAATACACTCATCAAAGCTAATACCAGCCTCACTGGTGTTAACTTCAGTGGATGGTTAAATTGAAAATGTTAAGCAAACATTTTTTTAAAATAAGAAATCTCCACTTAATCTTTCCTAATTGTTGTCTGGTGCTGAGGTTAGAGTCATAGAGGTTTACAGCATGGAACCAGGCCATTTGGCCCAAGTTGTCCATGTTGCTCAGTCTTCACTATTAAACTAGTCCCATTTGCCTGTGTTTGGTCCATATCCCACCCATGTACCTGTCTAAATATTTCTTAAAATGACAAAACTGTACTGGCCTCCACCACTACCTCTTGGCAGACTGTTCTGTCTCACCACTGTCTAGACCCTTTTGTATCTCTCCCCTCTCACCTTAAACCTGTGCTCTCTACTTCCATACCATGGGGAAAAGCTGTTGGCTATCTACCTTTCATGATTTTACAGACCTTTATAAGGTCACTCCTCAGTTTCCTATGCTCTAGTGAAGAGTCCCAGCCTATCCAGCCTCTCCTTATAACTCAAACTCAAAGGTCATTGAATTAAAACTGCGAGTGGCCGCTTGAAACCACTTGAAGACAGGACTGGTGGAAATCAGCAGAGCCTTTTAAATGAGGAAATAGGCGTAAGTACTTGCAGAACAGCCAAAATAGACAACATGCTTATTGCATTAAAAGTAGTGGCCCTGCAAATGCCTCCTGTAGTGGTGACACATCATTTACACAATTTGTTCAACATGGGTGGCAGCCCATTACAAGTGTGGATGGTGGCAGTGGTGACATTATATGTGACATTCTCTGAAGCAATCATAAGGAGAGATTTTTATACATTGGTAGTGTTACCTGGGGTTATATCAGTGCAACATGCATTATTTCTATTACGTAGAACCATTTCAAAATGTTTTTAATTACAATTCTGCTCAGACTATGTTAGTAGAGATTAACACAGAAATGAAATATTGCTCATGATGTTTGCGCTCTAACCTTTCTTACAGCCAGGGCCCATTTTTCCAGCTGGACAGCTGCACTTTCCAGTCACACTGTCACATGGGGCTCCTCCACAGTCACACGTCTGCAGACAATTCACTCCAAACTTGTTACTGGCACATTCTGCAATCAGGAGAGGCAGGCAGAGTCAGTACTCTAATAGAATGTCCCCTACACCCATTCACTGCATTTTTCAGCCTGGGCTGCGTCCACGGAACAGTCTAGAATCTGGTCACGGCTATTACATTTAAACACAGTTGTCTATGTCAGTCACTAGCCATATGTGACTAATTGGGACGACAGATGTGGCTAAACTTGTAAATAATAGAGTAATAGGAACCTGTGTTAGTCATGTAATTTTAAAACTCACATTTGTGGGGTATATGCATGTAAATATTAACTTCTGGGGCACTGGTTGCCAAAATAAACAGAGGAAAAGCAGTGCTTTTTTAATTAAATTGTGTGTGCTTTACTTCTTTATTTTCTGCTTATTTATTACCAGTTCACGAATGTCCTTTAGCGAAGAGAGCCAGTGGTACTGGGTTCTTGAGGACAGTGTGGAGTTACAACAAAGAAGAGACCTTTACTCTGATCTGACCACACCTTAGCTTGGGAGTGCTATCTTTAACTGCCATCCTTTACCGGGTCTGGCCTACATGTGACTCCAAAACCACAGCAATGTGGTTGACTCTTAACTGCCCTCTGGGCAAATAGGGTTGGGCAATAAATGCTGGCTAGTTCAGCAATGCCCTCATTCCATGAATGAATTAAAAAAACAAAAATCAGCTAAAGATGTATTTATCACAGATAAAAAGGCCCTGACTTCATATCCCAAGCTGTGGCAAGTATGCCCACCTATGCTGAGGGGAAGAATTGTGCTAGCATCAGATGAGCTGATTGTCATAAGGGCGTGGAACCTAGTTAATGAGATGCGTTTGGGTTGATAGCACGAGAAAGTGTGCTAGGCCTCATGGAAAGAAACACTCCATGACACTCGATGAAAATGACGCTTAGCTGTTTTCGGGTGGGATTCAGCTCCTTGTTAATGGACAGAAGATTCCAGATTTATGTACTGAAGGGACTTGGGTCTAATTCCATCTCAGGCTGACTTGCTGAACATTGCATCTCATTCCTGGTTGGGGCAGCAATAAAGATTCTATATAGAATTGCACTCAAATCTGCTCCTAATATGCCAACCTCAGAGAATCAGTGGTATGGGGGTTCTTGAGGACAGTGTGGAGGTACAAAATAGAAGAGACTTTTACTTTGATCTGCCTACACCTTAGTTTGGGAGTGCTTGATCCTAACACGGGGCCTCAGGACTGCAAGGTTTCATTCCTCAGCTTGACATACGAGCATCTAGTGGACAGAGAAAGGAAGGACAGGGAAAGAAATAGGTGCACTACTGGGCTTTCAAAGTCTTGTCCAAACCATACAGAAACTTCAAAGGTAACTTGGCTGCATTGATGTAAATGAATTCACAGGTGTGCGCTTGTGGTTTAATGAGTGCTTCAGGAGATTTCATTTGCTTCAATCATTTCAAGGTTACCAGTCCAAAAAGAGCCTGCTGGGAAGCTCAGTGTAACCAGAAGGAGATGAAGGAAAACACAAACTTGAGCCAACAGAGGCAGTTCAAAACCTCACCAGGCATGGTCTATGATCTGCATTGTGTCCTGCTCAGAGCTTGGGTTTTTATCATTTAATATTTAAAAAGAACTTAACTTTATATAACATCTTCCATAACCTCAGAAAATTGCAAGGCACTGTATAACTAATGAAGTAATGTATTCTGCTTTGTAATGTAGGGGTTAGTGAGGATACTAGAACAGAAAGTTCATCAGCAAACCCCCTCATTCAGTTTGCAAATGGAGGAGACTGACAAGGAAGAATGACCTGGTGGAAAGCATCTTTTTCATTCAGATAGACGACTTTGGAATAATTTACCACACCTGCATGTTGCCCTATTTTTATCATGTCAAAACTGCTATCCAGTTGATAAGGTCGAAGACCAGTCTTGATTGTTTCCAGAAACCAAACGTGTGTCCATTTTGAAGCAAATGATTTTAAAGGATGGAAGAAAAACAAAAAACTTGCACCAAGTGTGGATGGATTTAACCTTTAGGATAACATTATTATGGGTATTAAATACTCATTCGATGTGTGAGAGAAGTCGGTTAAATAACAGTGTGCTGTCCCACAGCCAGCACTGAGACACCAATCTCTCGAAACCAGCTTCGCTGGGCAGGGCATGTCAGGCATATGCCTGACACCAGATACCATCTCCCCACACCGAAGCTGCTGCCTGGTTATGGCAGGACACTCTCAGGAAGACAGCAGAAACACTTTAGGAATATTCAGAAAGCATCCTTGAAAAGGTCAAACATTTCTGTTGACTCACAGAGGTTCCTGGCTCGTGATCTACTAAAACGGTAAGGATTCATTTGGGAAGGCACTGACCATCAAGGCATTGGAGAAAGGACACAACTTCCAAACATCTCAGACACCTAACTCTTGAAGCACCATCTGCTCCACATGTGGCAGGCAGACTGATGAATGGACTGTCTAACTTCAAACAACGTTGATCTTGTTAATGTTGATCTTGCTTCGCACACCTTCTGTGCGATATAGCCTGTATGCCTCACTCTGTACAAGCACCTTATATTCTATATGCCCTTGCTTACTATGATCTGCCTGTACTGCTTGCAAACAAAGCTTTTCACTGTACTTAAGGTACACGTGACAATAAATCAAATCAAATCAGAGTCTGCCGACTGCACATTGAACTTGTCAACTTTCTTAAATCCATCAAACTGGAGTGGAAGCAAATCATCCTCAATTGCAAAGGACTACCTAAGAAGCAGGAAAAGTGTACACCTCCATTCTATAAACACCTCACTCCATTGGGTTAACATCTGGGGTGAGCCTTGCAGGTTGTCACATTTCTCACTCATGTGATTTTGAAAGTTAGAAGATTGCAGCTGGTCAGTTCCTGCTACTTCACTCATCTAAACTCTCAGCTGTTCTGGTGGACTTACGTCCTCCATATTATTAATTTAATGAACCAGTCCAGTGGGAATCTGATCCAGATTGAATGATGATCGGGTGTTTATCTGAATCTGTTTCCCTGGAAAACCGAGAAGGGTCTTCTTAATTAAAAGTATCTCATGGATATATATTTGTTAATATATATTGTGGATCGGGGTTCAGAATTACATTTTGAGATTACTATCATCTGATATATTGATCAGTCATTTATAGTGATTACTTGATTGGAATACTGGCTAGAGTTATCACTATAACAAGATCCCAGTGTACAGGAAATTCAAGAGGATAAACCCAAAGTCTGATCAGTACTATTACCCCAGTAAAATACAACGATAACTTTTAGTGATGGAAAATCCACAAGTTATTCTCCCTGCTGCTGTGATGCTATGAAGACATACATTCTTATCTCCTCCATCATCACCAAACAATACAAGTCATGTATCAGTCATTGATGTAATGCAAAACAACTGATTTTAATCAGGTTATATCGCTAGCACCTTCTTCCATCTTTAATCAGGGAAAGCACAGGATCCATGGCTTGAAGAGAGCTTGGTCAGAAAATGAGGCTGTGCGGTTTGTTGGATTTATCTGATGGTGTTATGTCTCACAGCCTAACAGAATTTGGGTGCACAAAAAAGCAAAATTGCAACAATGGAGTTCAATTCTTCAGATAGATATTCTGGCTTAAAACATCTGGTTAGGAACACAAAAGCTGCATATGCCAAGTCAGGTGTTTAGATATTACGAAGAATCTTGCTGCTTGGTTTCTATTTTCCAAGCCATTTTCATCAGAGCTTCAACATTTTTGAAACATTGATGAATAGCAGAGCTGTCATTACTTGAGCAAATCTGATGTATTCAATTTTCGGTCCAGGAACTTTGTAAGGAACAGGGTCACACAGAACATAAATATAGATAAAGGTTAAAATGCTTGAAATGAGGAAATTTCTTATCGTTAGTCATTTTTCCCTTGAATTTCCTTTGTTTCACTTTCCATCTTCCCACTCTAGATTAGTCACATCATCTGTCACTGCAAACAATGTTGCTTCAGCACACACAGCAGCAGTGAAAGCCTTGTATTAAAATTATACACCTTAAAGCTTTGAACAAGAAGTGCCACTACTGCAATAATGGCATGCTTTCATAAAATATCAAAACTAGATTATCTGGTCATTATCATATTTTTTTGTAGGAGCTTGCTGTGTGCAAATTGGCTGCCATGCTTCCTATGTTAGAACAGTAACTACACTTCAAAAAATGCTAATTGGGCTGCTAAGTGCTTTGGGACATCGGAGGTTGTGAAGCACGATGTACATGCATCCTTGCTTCCATCACCAACAACCTCACCAGTACAATGCTTTAGTTACTTACACACATTCGAGAACAGCATAAACAAGTGTACAGAAGAGGACAGGAGGAACAAATATGGTCTCATGAGTGAATCGTCTATCTAATGCAGCAGGCTTATGAATAGATGCAGATAACAATTAAAACGTGAATGAATCAATATGCCAAGTCCACACTTGGTCCCATAAGTTTATTCCTATTCAATCACATCTTGAAGATCTTAGCCCAAAATGCCACTCCGTGGAAACAATACATGGTTAAAATATTTACACAATCAGAGCTTTAGTGGCACTGTCCACAGTAGTTCGGAACACAATTGTGACACTTAATTCTTTTTGTTTAACCTGCCCAATTCCTCCAAGACTAAGTATTGCTTGCAGGAAAGTTGCCTGAAGCAGTAAATCCAGATAATTGCAGCTAATTTTAAGTTCATGCAGTCAATCATAAATTACTGGAAATTTCAAGTTATAGGTGATTGTCTGGATTTGTGGTATCTACATATTGCTGGGTTTTGAGAGTAAGATGAGGGACTGCACATTACTAATTGAAAGATTTGGAATTAATTTGTAAGAGATTTGCTCTGTTCTTTGCTTGCTTTCTGGAAAGTCTATAGTATTTCCTTATTTACTGAGAGCACAAATAAATACATTTATTGACTTTGCACAAGGAAATTTACATAAGGAAATCAATTTCTCACTGTTTCACATGGAGATGAAAATCAGTGTCCCGAT